TAGATTTTCTCACAAAAGAAGGTAACTTGAAAAAAAAATGAAAAAAAATCGGACCGGAGACAGGACGCGAACCAAGGCATTACGATATCGCGACCGCTCAATATCCACTTGAGCTATTACGATCATTAACACAATGTCAAAATTTACCTTCTTATATTGTAGCAGTTTTTCATTGCCTGAAAACATGTACAAAAAAAACATTTTCTAAAAATAAATCCTAGCTAGATCGATTTATTGCCCCCGAAACTCCCTGGACACTAAATTTTATGAAAATCGTTGGAGCCGTTTCCGAGATTACGATTACCTATATATATGCAAGAATTGCTCGTTTAAAGGTATAGGATAGGATAATAACTGCTCAAGCTACTCAGAAAACACAACAGAAAACGCAACACTAACTTGCGTGTAATGTCACTACCATTAAGTGTTAAACAAATATATGTTTGGACTTAAGACAAAGGAAAGGAGGAGGCTTACAGGTTCAGTTATGCTAGCCGCGTTGTGAATGAAAAACTCTTTGTCCATGAGTTTTCTTACGGATTTACAACTGATAAAAAATGGTCAACTATTTTAAATTCTATTACGCTACAAAGAAAGAAGGAAGTCGTTCAAATAATTTGTAATATAAGTAATTTAAAAATATAAAATCGTATTAATAATAGTTATTTCAGCCGTTTAGTTCTTTTTACTCGTTGTCGATGTCGATGATATGATAGTAATGAGTTGTATTGATTGATTATGATTTTTATATTTGATGATGATGATTTTCATATTGTCTTTGGACTTGTAAATTATGTTGGTGAACGATCAGTTAACGTTTCTGTGTTCTATTCTATTTTATGATTTAAGAAACTCATGGATTCGTCCCCTGTTTCAATCCAATACCCCACTTCCAGGTTACATCAGAACGTAAATCCACAACATAGCCTTTTTTAACTCTTTAAGAGTTTTTTAATATTTCATCTCAAAGTTTTAAACATATTGCAATATATTATAAGAACGAGTACACTAATACTACTGACTTCAAAGTAAAAACGGAATAAAAAAGGAGAACTTACTAAAAAGGGTAGTGCAACGTTTAATGTTTTATGCTTTGTGTGCACATGCTTCATAAATTATAAACAAATGTTATATAAGGTCATTCTATTTTTATCACATTGTATTTCCTTAATCTTCGAGCTCGGAAGCTACTCCATCCTTAATTAGAAAGATAACATCTTTACCCCGAGGCCGAATCTGGCCGCGATGTTAGTCATTGGAACGAGAAAATGAGAGCGAACTATTTGTTCCGTCAATTATGTTAAGGTCTTCAACATGACAGTAATTAATTTTATGTCGAATTAAAAACAATTTCACGTGTCAGAAAAAAAAGAAGCATTCTTGACGTAACTTTAAAATTAACATCCGTACAATAGTGCGGTTACTGGCCTTTTGGCAACCTTAGGAAATTTATTATAAACTACATACTAAACGCAGGTGCTTGGTTAAAATTTGAAATTTTCTAATAAAGGCTAGTTTTAAGGGTAAATAGGAAAGTTGAATAATATTTTTGAGATCTAGTGGAGTTCCAATTAAAATTTTTTATAGCATTGGGTGACAAACGAGCACACAGTCCACATAATGGTAAGTGAATGCTATGGCCCATATACATTCCCATTTATCTTCAACTAAGGATCAAAATGCGAATGCGTTGTCATGCCTGAGGACTAAGATGGTATGTCTCGATTCCAGTAAAAAGGATATTCGGTTCTCTACACTAACCATACGAAACACAGCAGCATTATCCTGTTATTTGACGCTGGTATTCTGTGAGAGCGCTGTCCGGTCCCGGTCGAGCCGACCCATTTGTGCTACAACTATAATTTAGCTGTAGCGTTAGTCTAGCACGTAAGAAAGTTATTTGAAGCATCTCTTTCTAAGTGTATTCTGTAATGTAATTCATAATTTTGCGTACAATTTCATTTCACTTTTATACGCATGAAAATTGTACGCTATGTTGTTGCCAGCCGTAGATATATCTAAAAGTATTTATACTTGTTTAAAACATTGTCCTACATAAACGCTAAACATTTATTTTCTGTCCCCAATTTTTGATGAATATTCTTTTATTACTAAGTATTTGTTCTTTTTTTAACTAGATATAAAAACATTGCTATTTACTAGACCGCTGAGATGTTTTCGGGCAACTTTTCGCTTTAAAGTTTATTAGTCATATTTTATGCGTGAAGAAAGAATGAGCAGATTTGAACGAGTTCAGATGGGCATTGTTAAATGTTGACTCGATTATTCTAATGACGGTCTATCAATAAACGGCATCAATTGAAAGTAATTACAATTGAGTCCAATGTCTCTATTCTAGTTTTTGTTGAGATCCCGCTAGTTCATTATCTACTACAATACCATTGTTCATTGAGGACGATATCTTCTTGTAGCGGGGTGAGAATGAATAGACACAATTTCGTATTGCTTCAAGTCTGTTTCCGTTATTCCTGGTTCATTATTGTAAGATGAAATTAATTTGTTAGATTAAAAATAATCACTAAAATTATGCATTGACTAACTGTAAAATTCGCTAAATTCCTAAGCCCTCCGTACACAAAATACCTAAATCAGAGAAGGGGTTCAGCGACTAAAATGCGAGGAATTTAATAAAAAAACATCAACGAAAAAATGGTTTATTAAATTAAACAATGTGTAATGCGCCGTTTTGGTATTATTCAATTATTTTCAAAGTAAATCTGACAAATGAATTTGATACAGAACTGTAATATGTATGTCTGTATATTATTTATTCTTTCATAACAATTAAACGCATTATTAATGACGTATACTAAAGTTAGTCCCATTTTTTATCCGTTCGAGGCTTGCGTCGGATCATTTCATTTTTTTTTTTGGAAATATTTATTATATATACCTATGCTCCCATACAAAAATGTAAAGACCTAAAATAAGATGAGAGTCCTTCTTCTTTTTCTTTATCGGCCTGTCAATGTGCACTTGTGAGTTGGAAAATTGGAAATTGAATCAACATTGAATCAACTGGAAACAGTCCTCACTATTCGTATGTAAGTTTTCCGTGACCGTCACGCTTGGCAAGCGGATTGACGACCGCCGCGCCGGTCTGGGAATTTTACGTCCAACGTAGCTGAGGTAGATATACCACCACCTATCGGAAGCCATGAGATCTTTCTGGCGTTTCCCGTAGTCGCCTCTTTAGACGCCCATGGGATGAATTCTCTTAGGTCACCGCCACAGGACACACTTCTAGTTATAAGAATAATGTCCTCCAGAACGAATTTCGGTGATGGATGTATATTCTTACACCGCCACTACACGGATTAACAAAGTTAGTAATACATTACAATACTATGTAATACAATTTTATTTAAATAAGTATTTAACAGTATCCAGTACAGCAATTAAAATCAACACGCACGTTGTTAATTGAGATGATTACGGAAGTTCCTCTTAAAATGGGTTTGTGTTCTGTTCAGCATTGAACTAAAAATCATTTCCTTTATTTTTAGGTCGATATAGGCTTTTTTGCCGCGTACAATGAAAATGTCCTAGTTAAAACATTTGAATTTCACTGAACATGTAAAGACATGCTTTTGGATTAGTTCCAAGGAAAAGCGAATACAATTAAGATATCGTTAAATCCGACCTTGTACTGTTATTTTTTTAAAGGTTTATTGCGAATGAAAATATTTCTACTTTTTACTCACTCGCGGAAGTTATTTTTACTGGTTATATCAATCTGACAAGATTTACGTTGACAACTGTTAGCAATAAATTAAAGCTTTTCACTATTTACACTGAATTCAATCTCTGTCTCATCGTAATATCGCACAAAATACACAACCATGTATAGGACTATTGTTTTTAATAGTATACAGGTGACAAGCGAGCACACAGTCCACTCGATGGTACTTACCGTGCTGTGGTCCATAGATATCTACATCTGTTTTTGATTAAGAATCAAAATGCAAATGCGTTATCACCCATGAGTACTGAGATGGAATCTACACTCACCATTCGAAACACAGCAACATTAATTTACGCTGGTATTCTGTGACAGTATTTTCTTTCACCAAAACTCAACACACAACAATTTAAAATTGTGACTGAAATCAATTAGTAAGTTTTCAATACTCAGCACGCGGGCCACGCAGTTGTGTCAATCCATAGCTGACAGGTAGCTACATTAACACTGTTAATGCTATATATATATATATATATATATATATATATATATATATATATATATATATATATATATATATAATCGGTGTTAATTTATTATAATTAGCATTTAGGCTTGTATTGTTTCATCGTAAAAGCGGAGTGAATCTGACAGATGGTGTTTTGTTAAACATAGTATATATCGTCCGTGAACTTCTGATACCTCCTAACTCGCATTTTTTCGCAAAACCTTTTTTAACGCCATCGTTTGACAGAGATCAGAACCAATAGAATGCATTAACCTCCTAAATAAAATACTTGTTTTTTTGGTCACAATCCGTTCGGAGAAATACCTTCTAAATTTTGCCGCCCTATTTTTGCTGGAAATTTCTCCTAACTAACAGTTTGCTCGAAGCGCGTACACGGCTATTTAGTATTCTGGCGTTTGGCATTTAAAAGTATTTTTTTTTTGGTATTTTTATCACTTCGTTGGTATTTACATTAGTGTTATAGCTAACTGAAGGTGTTTCACTGATTTTGTTTCATAAAGTAGGTACGTATATTATTATTAGCTATGATTTATTTCAGGTTAAAGTTTTTTTGTCAGATAGGAGTAATTTCTTTGAACACTTTTTACTTCAATTTGGTAAGTTATGTTTTCAATTAATGCAGTTAGAAGAAATTTCTTAAAAGTTTAGTACTTACTTTTACCTTCTTAAATATCTACGATCTTTTAACCTGTCTGAGGAGTACGATCATAAATTATTTGGTATTTTGTGCAGTTAAAAGATAACTTATTTATTTCAGATTTTGTCATAATGGCATCAAGAAACAGAGCACATGCACTCGTTAATATAATTTGCAATCCAACTGAACCAGAGAATATGGCATCCACGTCTCATACACCTGTTTCTGTTTTGGTAAAGAATGTCCTAACAGAACCACATTCTTTTGAAAGGATTGAATCTCAGTTAGGGGAAATTTTACTAACTGCAGACAATGACCTCATTCAATTAGAAGACCTAGTGGCGCTTGACTCACCGTCGCTATTAGAAACACCGTCTCCGAGGCCAACTTCACCACCACCTGTGAGAGATGCTTGTGAGGAATTTTCGCCTGATGACGACAGCGATTACGAACCACCCAATGATCGTGGTGCTTTAAGTTCGGATTCAGAAAATATCCCTCCTAATGAAGAGACTCTGCAAACGAACGAAGAGGTAGTTCACTTTGGAGATATGTTTGAAGGCCGACGTAGACAGAGACTAGCTCAACCCGAAAGTTGGAAGAAAAGTATTACTAAACGGTTAAGGATGGAGGGGAAAGAGTATGTCGGTTACAAAAGACCAAAGGGTGAGAAAGTACAAAGCCAAATTCGAAACCAAAGGGTCCTTGGCCCTAAATGCAATTCAGATTTTTGTAGAAATAGTAAGTTGAGATGTTGTGATGAAGTAGGGGATGAGGACAGAGAGAAGATATTTCGACAATTCTGGAGCAATATGGACTGGCATCAACAAAAAGTGTATGTTGCTAACAACATAACTTTTCAGGGAAAAGGTAGGCAGACATCAATAAATTCGAGAAGAGCTGGTACTTTCGTTTATTTTTTTCCAGTGACTAATTCTGTAGATGGAACCACAACTAAGAAGCGTGTGTGCCGTGAAATGTTTATTCAAACTTTGTGTATTGGAACATTTTCAGTTCAAAATTGGGCAAAAAAAAGGAATAAGTGGCATGCATCTATCTGAAAAAACTAATAATCGTAACCGTCGTCCTAAAGCGCAATTGTCTCAAAGACTTGACATTCTCGATAACTTTTTCAATGTATTACCTAAAAAGCCGTCGCATTACAACCGTCATAACACTACCAAAGTCTACTTGGAACCAATTTATCGCAACGCCACTCACTTATACAATACTTATAAACAATACTGCTCAGAAAAAAATGCAGATCCTTACGCTAGAAATAAATTCAATCAAACTATCAAATCGAAGAATATAGCTATCCACACAATAAAGAAGGACATGTGTGATGTTTGTGTAGGTCATCAGAGCGGTAATGTAAGCGAAATTGACTACCAAACACATCTAAGAAGAAAAAATCGAGCCCGTGAAGAAAAATCTATGGATAAAAATGAGGCGATCAAGGGAAACTGCATAGTTTTAACAATGGATTTACATCGGTTAAAATGTGTCCGTTTATCACAGCTAGTGCTGTTTACTATAAAACAAAATTATGTGTACATAATTTTACCATCTATGATTTAGCATCTCATGAGTGTACATGTTACTGGTTTACAGAAACTGAAGGTGATCTATCAGCGTCTACCTATGCGTCATTTATTATTGATTATTTGACCCGCCATAGCCTTCCCAAACATCTACCCATAATAATATACTCAGATGGCTGCACAAGCCAGAACCGAAACAATATATTATCGAATGCTTTATTAAATTTCTCCATGCAACATCAAGTGGCTATAATACAAAAATATCTTGAAGTCGGACACACGCAGATGGAAGGAGATTGTGTACATAGCGCTATAGAAAGGAAATTGAAAAATAGGCTAATCCACTTACCAAGTGATTACCTGTCGGTTACCAAAGAAGCTCGCAAAAATCCTTGTGAGTACGAAACTGTAATGGTAGACTATACATTTTTCAAAAACTATTCGGCTCCTGAAACATGGCGCTACACTTCGATCCGACCGGGACGCAAAGCTGGAGATCCAAAAGTTACTGATATAAGGGCTATTTTTTATGACAACACATGCCTGATTAAGTTTAAATTGGACTTTGACTCCGATTGGGATAGCCTCCCTCAAAGGGTTAATAAAATTTCCATCATAAGAGAGTACGCATCCCTGCATAGGAATAGAATACCTATCACATACCAAAAATATAAACATTTACAGGAGCTAAAGTCTGTTATCCCATTGGACTGTCATTCCTTTTACGACAGTTTACCTCATAATGAACATTAACATTCCTAATGTTACCTTAGTATTAGAAATATCATTTAACATGCTGGATAAATGATGCGAATTACTTGCTAAGATTATTTTAAGTTTTATAAAAACCTCAAAGATTTGAAATAATTTTAAGAATGTTAATTAATTTTTAAAGCAACCTTTTTCAAGACTGTTTAAGTTTAAGTTTTGTTTCTCATATTTTTATTAAAGTCTGATTGTGATTTTGTAACATTTCCCTTTAGCAACATAAATAAATATTATATTTCTGTATTTTATTGTTCTTCCTTAGTTCAAAATTTAAGTTAGATGCACACTTTGGGGGTTGATTTCTCCTAAGTAACTAAAGGAAATATCTCCTATCTGACTTTGGTATTGAATTCGAAAACTTAAAACTCCTAACTAACATAAAACAAAAAAAAAACAACAGCACTAACTTTATTTAATTATAATTAATAAAATGACATAAAAACCGACCAACTACTTTTTTGTTTTATAAAAAAACATCGTGAAAAGGAAATAAATCAGTTTTATGGCCCTACTGTAAAATTTGTTTGTAGGTAGATAGGAGATCTCAGAAGTTCACGGACGATATGGAACCGTCCAACCAAATTTCCTCGATTTTTCCATACACCCCAAGCTTAAGGGAAGCATAAGGTCCCCTAGTTTAGAAAATACATATATTCAGAAGCGACGTGTGTGAAATGATGATATACATGAAAGCACTATCAGCATCAGTTTAACGCAAGTCAGCAAACTATAATAATTATATCGTGGGAGCCAGACGTACAATTGACGTGATTAATGCATTGCGCATTTAGCTATTGTCCGCTACCGCGTAGCAACGGCGCGCTACGTAATTTCCACTTGAGACAGTCTACTACCGATTAGACGCATACTCGTAATTACAACTTGAGCTACATTTATGGGACAGGAATATATTTATCCTTTTTTATTTCGTACATTTTACAAAAAAAAAAAACTACCGAACTTACTGAAAAAATATAATGTATAGACTATTTTACCATATATTAAAGACATGGCTGATTTCAGCAATAAATATTTTTCAAGTAAAGCATAAGAGCAGTCGCTCGTTCCGGCTATCGTGATTGATAATTCTCTAATATGACGAGATCGAGAACAAGATAGATTTGAATGTAGTATTTATATCAGAGATGCAAATAATTGGATGGTTGATGCCATCATTAAGAGCCAATAAGCTTTATTAGCTTAACAAAAGCTAACCTTTACCCCTAACCTAACAAATATACCTAAACTGTAATCGAATGATATAAGGGTAGATACTCGTTGAGACTCTGGTTGTCCGAAGGTGTAAGAAAGAATGAAAGCATAAATTTGAGTTTCGGATTAACACTGAGAAATGATCAGAGGTTATTACCTAAACTAAATAACAAAAACATTAAAACGTTTCCTAATGCTTAACTTATGGGTACACATTCACACCTAAAGTATTTAAAATGCTGGGTAATGAAAGGAATTATTGTTAAGCTAACTTAAAAGCACAGGCCTACTTTCTTAAAGGGTTATTGAGTTCACACGATATTTTCTTTCCCCGCCGAGCACTTGGTAAATCAGCACTAAAAATTACAAATTCTTCGTGTACAATGAAATTTACAGTAAAAGGTTAAACCACAGCTACCGCGCCATCTCCATTTGTGTCTTTTGACTTCATTTATTTACAAAAGTTTTAACTCTTCAAATATTAATTAAACATAAATGACTTCGCGAAAATATAATTAAAGCGCTCCACAGTTTTATTACACATACATTTCCTCTCTTTGTGTAAACATTGTAAAATTAATTAATGTATACTCGAGGCAGAGCGCCCAGCAACCGGGGCGTGGAATGTGCGTACGCCCTCCGTTTCCGTAATAAAGCATTTCGCGACACATTTCCTTACAGCCTGGCCACGGGACATTCGCCGTAGCGAATATTCGCGCGGCGCGAACGGCGAGGCGTCTAGCGACTAAGATGTATAGAAATGTATGGAGCAAGCCACGCGTAGCGGCGAGTGGCGATGCGACCGGCGAAATTTACCGGGCGAATCGCGCGGGCGACTGACGACGCGGCGGGTGAATGAAACAAATGTAATGTATGAATCAGTGCGGTGCAAGCCACGGAGTCGGGCGGCTGACGCGGCGGCAGACGCGGCGAATAGTATAGGGAACAAAATATTTTAGTTGTTTTCGCCGCGAAAAATGCCGGGCCGACAAAAACAACTTAAAATTCTATCCGCATTGACTTTTATCTCCAATTCTGGTTGAATATTAACAAGAACATAATCGCTGGTTTCGACACTCATTTTGCTATTTACTCGAAATTTTTTTCTAGATGCATTCTATTTGTTGTGGAATTCTCCATCTATAACGCAATTCCTATTCAAATCATGTACTCCACAATCTCTTCCAAATATTATGTCGTGAATCAAAAAACAATTACTTTCTAAGCAATGTCGATATAACTTAGATAAAGACATTTCACTCTCGGCCTATCTGGTCGCTGCGGCAAACGTGAATTCCCGTGGCCCTCAAATCGCGCCGCGCGAATTTTCGCCCCACCTGTCGCTTCGCCGTTCGCGCCGCCGTTCCCCGTGGCCAGGCCGTTAGTTGGAATGCGGAAGCATCGTTTATCAAACATATGTTTTGTATTTTCCAAATAAACGAATTTTTATATGGTCTAATTCTGAGTAGAATTAGTATGTACAATGCATTTAAAATTCACAGAATCGTCATCATCATTACAAGCCAGACTGAAGTCCGGCAATCAAAGTGTAGGTCTACTCCATTGATCGCCACAAACTATGGTTCTAAGACTGAACTGAGCTTCGAAAACTGATATATTTCGCTGAGCGTAAACTACTTGATCAGACTATCATCTATTAAGAGGCTGTTTAGCATTTCTCCTACTCACCTTTTACGGCGCCACCACACGGTTTGATAGAATCCGTTAGCCACCTACGCGCTGATAATAGTATCAAGTTATTTTGCAAAACGAGCACACATCCTACCAAAAAGTATGTCTCTTATCTTGCCAGTAAGCAAGTTTAAATAAAAGGCTTGTGTTAATATGTAATAAGAAAAAAAAACTCAAGGGATTGGTAAAATTTTTAATTTATTGTTTTTGTAACTTTACACTATACAACCTGCAACCTTTCATATTGTATTTTTCTATTTATACTTTCATGCACGAAGATGGCGGACTTAGTCCCAGTCAACCATTAGGCTAAAGATAAACATATAAGAGGCGGTGCAGCAATAATCAATATAGAAAGGGTTAAAAAATGTATAATTTACTTTTTTTAAAGTCTCGCTGGGTTTCTTGCTGGTTCTTCCCAGGCTAGAGGTTTTTTCCAAACCAATGGTAAAGTAAAAGATGATTTTCAATAAGAATTACATTATTAATGAATAATTAATTACTAATTAAACTTACAACCAGTATTTATTTAAGTACCTTACAAGTCAAGGACGACATTTCATTATTAACGAGCATATTACTAAAATTATAAAATTTGCATTTTACTTTTTTAAAATACCAAAGTACTACACATACTTTTCCAGAGATCAAACGTTCTCGTACGTAATCCGTTCCCTGCTAGACATGCATCATGCACTCCCTTAACGGGAGGTTTGTTCACGTTTATCTGACGAATCAGCTATCACAGAAACATAATGCATATTATTATATTGCTGCGACTAATAAAAATACAAGCCTGTAATTTATCGGACGTTATAAGTTCTTTTTCATTTTTGCTTAGGTCTCTTTTAACGACATCTACGATGAAATGATGATGATGATGAATATGAAATTTATTTGTCTGTTACAAATTTGATTTGTAAACAATACACTCAATCCACTCCTCATAATCGTCAACATCAGTCAAGACCTAAAATGCAATGATATTGCACCACCCATGTTATAACCTTCCCTGTTAGGAGTAACGACTAAACTACGTATTACAATTCTCGGCTAATTTAATACAATTCAAGGACCAGTTCCCTTATATGGTCACTAATTAATTCTTTTATCGCACAATCGACTGATGGTAAATGGATTAAGTCCGCCCTTTATATTTTTTTGTAATAGGTAATGTAATAAAGAATAAATAAATACAATGTAGTTTTGTTCTGTTCGTTTACTTTATTTACTTAACGAATAATCAAAACCGCTCGCTTATATTATATAAGAACACCACTCTAACTGTTGGGAAGTGGAACAATTCCCGAGAGCGTGTTTCTGTTACGTGCCGGAGCGTAATGTAGAGGCGTCTGCGAGAACGGTCCCTATTCATGAGCCTATGGATATTTAGAATCAATTCGGCACAATGGACTCGATAATCGTGAAGGATAAAGTCGATTTCATTTAGGGGATTACTTTATATTGGAAAAGCTTGCTGAATTGTTATTTTATTGTCTTACCAACATTTTAGGTTAGGACGCGTTTTTGTTTAGTATTCCGTCCGTATTTTTGCGGAACAATTGATGGTTTATATTGTTTGTTCTTAGGTGATTAAGACTTTTTACCTTATATCGAAAAAAGTCTAATCTCTTTTTTTTAATTATTAAGAGTTTAATTAAGTTTAAATAAATTAAGGGTACCCTTAACCGGCGAGTGACAGACGTGAGTGTTTATGTATGTATGTTTTATAGAACCAGGGTGACAAACGAGCACGCAGTCCACTTTATAGTAAGTGGATGCTGTGTCCCCTAGGCGTATACCTCTAACCTCGATTAAGATTCAAAATGCAGAATACGTTGTCACCCCCGAGGACTAAGATGGAATGCCTCATTTCCTTTACAAGGGTCTCCGGTTCTCTACACTCACGAAATATAGCAGCATTAAGCTGCTATTTAACGTTCGTATTCTCTGAGAGCATGTTTCTTCCCCGGTCGAGCCGTCCTAAATACACGTAGAGTGATTTAGTAGAGCTCATTAGTAGAAACGTGGAAATGGTCTTACTCATCATCATCATTACATCTCGTCACAAGTCCACTGCTAGGCGTAAGCCACTGAAGCCGCTAGACTGTGCCAGTTACTTATGTTTATCTGCGAATATCCTCGTTACAGATTTCATCAAGCGAAAAAGCTCTAAACATAGTCCTCTCTGTCGCTCGCTGATTAACAATTAACTCATATAACGGCCTTTAGCGAAGGACCACGTTTTGATTCCGTGCTGAATATTGTTTCCTTTGCACTAAAGTCAAATAAAATCGCTTTAATTTTTGTTCAAAGCTCTAGTATTCGAGTGCTTCTAATGTACTCTCTTAAAGCCATTAGATAATGTAAACCGGCCATCAAAGGACCAGTATAATTAACAACAGCTTGTGGGAAATTCAATATCACTAACAGTTCAACAACAAGATTAAATTGCAGTGGACCTGTGAGTTGTTGTAATGATGATGATGATGTTCTAAATTTAATAACAAAATCACCATTATCGTTACATCAACTTACTGGTTCACTGCTGAACATAGGCCTCCCCCAAGGAATGCCACAATGCATAGACCAGAGCCATCTGCCTCCTTCAACTTCCTGCATGTCTCGCAGGTCGTCACTGCATCTAGTGGGGAGACGCCCTACACTTCTCTTACCGGCCTGCCGCTCGAATACTTTTCTTACCTCCGGTCGTCGGACTACATGGCCGGCCTATTTTTTTTAAAAGAATGTTAACAATGCCATAAACCTCAATAATATTCCCCTTAACCACTCGTGGTAAGCTTAAATTGCTTGTGTTACGAGTGGTTCAAGCCAGTAGTCGAATGGCGGTTTCGAACCCACGACTTTTTTCAGTTCGCGGTCCGCGCCCTGCCATTAGGCTACTGTCGCTTCAATTCATTCTATTGCCATTTCAGCTTACTGATCCGTTGGTCTGTGTCGGTATTAAACTAAATAAAAACCAAGAATAGAAAAAATATTTTATTCTTTAATTTATAAAACGGGGTACTTTACTGCATAACGAGGTCTAGTGGCGATACCAATCCTGGCAGACACGCATTCGTTTGACCTTTTTCTGTAACTGCAGCATGGCGTACAGTAGTGCTTCGGCTGTGGGCGGACACCCAGGCACGTATATGTCCACCTATTAGTACAGTAGAGCAATAATTTATATCTGCCTACACCGTAATAGCAAACGAGTTTCGTATCCATCTCCGTTGTCCAGCATTAAGACAAATGTAGGCTTTTGTTTTACAGGACACAAAGCTATTAAATTAGGTAGATATACGAATAACCTGCTCCGTTGTCGACCACACTTATGTCATAGACTTTATAAATTTCATACTACATAAATATATATTTCTATAATAATGTTATTTACTTATATTTATATTTCAGTTTTATATTCCACGAGGTCAATATGCATCGTGAGGAAAACTTGCGTATCTAAGAAATAAATGCTTTTTGCATGCAGAAGCATGACCGATTCTTCATTCAATCCTTGATTTTATTTTATGATTTCTGGATCTCGACAACAGCGCCACCTACCGGGTCCAATTAAGTTTTTAAATCATTCAGAGACGCACTCAAATACACTTAAAACATTCATCAACATCGTTCGAGACATTGTCGAGATTTAGCGAGACTAACGGAGAGCAATTGATTTCTATATATAAAAGATTTCCCATATTTTGTGTATTTCACAGACAAAATATAGTCCGAGTTCGAACCCAGATAATGAACAAGTTGCTTTTTATCTATTTGAACGTTGAATCAAGTTCTGGACAAAGGAATCGGTTACTTTTTGAAATGTGATACACTGTGCCTTGTGATGCCGGCTTGAGACAATCTATCACCCCATATATTCTGATGGGTCTAGAGCGTTGATCTTATGACTCCAGATATAAAGACAACAAACGATGGTGTAACCATCCTTACACTCACGTAAAACTTCCACATCAGCGCGGGGAGCACCGCCAAATGTGCAAAACATTTTGTACCCTGGCACGCCTGCTAAGCCAGGCGATCATGGATCAGCTGTGGTTTGTAACGGACTAATTATAAAAAAAGTAAAGACAAATAGGTAAGTTTAAAAAGCATACAATCAATCACATTGTTTTGTGGAATCTTTTATAAGTGATCATACGTACAGGTACAATCCGATCGCACCCTCGGACGGTTGAGTACGTGTAATGGTAATATCCGCCACCGTTGGCGCAGCTGCCCATCGAGACCACCCATTTTGGGTCCGGCATTAGGTCGTAGGTCTTCCGGAACACGGGCGCCATCTTGTTGGTGACGGTGCCCGCCACGATGATAACGTCCGTCTGACGCGGCGTACCGCGGAATACCATGCCGTAGCGGTCCATATCGTATCTGTAATAGAAGTAGCTACTGTTGTGTGATACCATGATTTTTTCCAAATAATTTTTTTCATGACATACTTTTTTTAAAGAATAAAGGTGACAAACGAGCACATAGTCCACCTGATGGTAATTGGATGCTGTAGCCCATAGACATCTACATTTATCCTCGATTAAGAATCAAAACGCAGATGCATTGTCACCCCTGAGCATTAAGATGGAATGCCTCGTTTCCAGTAAAAAAGGGTCTCCGGATCTCTACACTTACCATACGAAATATACTGAAACATATAGCACATATACATATAGCAGTACTAAGCTGCTACTTTACTGGTATTCTGTGAGAGCGTGGTCCTTTCCCGGTCGAGCCGACCCATTCGTGCTATAACCATAATATAGCTGCAGCGTGACTCTACCACGTCTTAGCTTTAACCGTGTAATATTTTAAAAGAAACAACTTATTGTTAATAACTATTGTAGAAAAGTCATACCACCTAACAATAAGTAGGAGGCAGGGCTCATTTTTACCGAGGACTCTAGCAAGACATAATACTCTTACCTATTTCTATCGCCAAGCTCAATACAACCACTGCGTTTCGTTTCTAAGAGTAACACAGCCAGTTAATTACAGTCTGTAAGCAGAAGATCCATGAGCTGCAGTAACCACTTACCATTAGGTCTGTTACTTCATTTTTTTCTTCAATATTTTGAAACTAATGTGAGCAATTCGCGTGGTAACCGGTCGACAATAAATAACTTTTCGCATAGCGTTCTAGTTTGAAAATATGCATTGTTTGCTCAGTTCTTTTTCAGGATTAAATTGAAGGACAAGTTATAAAATCATATTGAATAAGGTTCTCGATGGTACGTAGTGGGGGTTGCGCGGCATTTTTTTTACTTTTAATGATACTATTCTTATGCAACTTGCAGTAATTAATAAAATAGAATCGTTAAGAGGATTGTGAAGTGCCGATACGCGACGCGAGTAGGTATTTTCAAAAATGCTATCTGTTTCATAACGCTCGCTTTGTATCCCTCCGGGCGTGACAAACACAAATATAACATAATATTATAAACAAATTCTCACGCACACTACAATAGCAGTAGTAAGCGACGCTCGGGCATATTATGTGAATCGCTCGAACGTCGACTATTAAAAAGAATATTTAAAACATTTACGTCACGACGAAATGTCGTTTTATAAAAATATAGATAAAAACCTATTCATTTTTTCTTCGATAATGCATGTCTCACATTTGGCCCCATATAAATGTCATAGAAATCTTTTTAACCATGCACTTGTCTAGTAATAATATTAGTCCTTTAGAAAATGTTGTCCGTGTTATTAATTCGAATTACTAATTTATTAGAATACGAAGGTAAATTTTGCTAGTGTTTCGAAGATTATTATTAGCTCAAATGAGAAATCGGCGGTCCCAAATCCGTGGTTCGAATCCGAATGACTTCGGCTACCGGCCGAGTTTTTTTCAAGTTCCCTTCTTTTGTGAGAAAACTAGTATTTTTAAAAACACGAAAAAAATAAATTAAAACTAATTGAACTCATGATTTTTATTATAACCAGTTCAGTTTTTTTTATTATGTTGGTAAGATCGAAAAATATTATTCATATTACATCAGTATGTAATTTGTACCTAAATATTATATATTTCCAAAAAACACGATTTCCAAAAAAAATACATTCTTTCTCTTTTCTTTTTTTTTAAAACGTCACCCCTACACTAAGATTTTCTCTTGTATCGTAGGGCGGGTTTACAAACATAAATTGCACAAGCACAAACATCCAGACCCGGAACATTTCGTATTGTGAGTGTAGAGAACCGGAGACCCTTTTAACTGGAAACGAGGCATTCCACCTAAATCATCGACAAGGCATCTGCATTTTGATTCGTAATCGAGGATAGATGTAGATGTCTATGGGCCACAGCAACCACTTACCATCAGGTGGGCTGTGTGATCGTTTGTCACCCTATTCTATATAAAAAAAGCAGTAGTTGGCGCCGTGAAACATTGGAAGAACGAAGAAATCACTGACGTGGAAAAATTTAAAAACATCAAAAAAGACATAAAAATCAGCGCCAATCATATTTTTAAGAAAAGGAAGAAGAGTTTTTGGCTTCTTCGCCAAAAAACGAGGACAAAATAAAAGAATTAGAATTGGCTACTAGAGGTCAAAGGGACAATGAGCACACTGAACGGAGAAAAAGGCCAACTGCATATGAATTTCAAACCGCGCCCTTACTGTATACTCATTTCAAAGGAAATACGGCAACCGAATATGGAAACCAACACGAATCGGAGGCCATACGAGAATTTTCCACAACTAACAATCTAAAAGTTTCGGTGTGTTGACTATTTATATTAAGATGATTATTATTTAGGGGCAAGTCCCGATGGACTTATCGGAGATGACTCTCTAATTGAAGTCAAATGTCCTATTTCTGCTTCTAATATGCCACCTGTGGAGGCCATAACTGAAAAAAGATCAAATTTTGTTTGATACGAGAAGGACAGATGATTTTAAAAAGAAATCATGTTTACTATTATCAGGTCCAGGGAAAATTACATATCACTGGTAGGCAATTTTGTTTTTCGTAGTATGGACGCTACATGTTTTGGCGTATGAAAAATTAAGTACGATGACTTCTTTTGGACGAAAAAATGCAGCCAAAACGCAATTCATTTTATTTTCAGTGTTTATTACCAAAACTGATTGTCCCTCGAGTACATAGAAATATGGCAGCTCGAGAAAGAGTGTAATAAAGTAATATGTAGTAATAAAAAAATAATTTCCACAAGTTACTTACTTAATTAAGTTACTTTTTTATTTATTCACCTACTTAATTAAGTGTAATCTCGAAATCTTTTTAAGTTACAGTCCTTATTCAATAAAGACTCTAAAATAAAAAAGACTAAATAGGTACATAATGAAGTTATTCTCAGATATTATTTTTTCATAAGAAGTATTATTTGTGTAGTTTGTCGGTATTACTTTCTTCTCCCTAGACTGTAATAAAATCTTTTTTAATTATTTTTTTTTACGTTACTAGGACTTTCTCATGTATCGTGGAGGCAGTTTTTACATACATAAATTGAATAAAGACAAACATCCAGACCCGGAACAATTACTTGTAGGCCATACAAATACTTGTGCCGTGCGGGATTCGAACCCGCGGCCCTCAGCGCTATCTGAGCGCATTGCTGAGCTACTGCGCCACGTAGCCGTCAAATCTATACATATATGTATATCGATAAAATCTCCGACATCTAATAACAATAAACCACAACTACAGCAGTATGCGTATGTCCCTGCCTCCCGACCCGTATCGTGCGATAGAGTTTCAAGTCTTGAAAGCAATTGCCTACATTTCTTTATTGAAATATTGTTTCGGCCGATAACATTTTTACCCCCCTAAACCTTTACGAAATGAGACAATTTTCATCAGATTCAGTATCATTAGATTCAGTACACCTTAGTCTAGGTCTGTACGTTTTTCTTTTTTAGTAAATCAGTTTAGTTTAATTAAGAAAAATAAAAACGCTCGAGGAAATTTTTAAGTCAAAAATATAGATATTTAGATGCTAATAACTTATATCGTACGTAATATTTCTTTAAAATTAAAACGTACGGACCTAGTTTTTTGTTATATCTACAACATTTGCAAAAATTATGAAAATTACACTATGTTTACTGGTGGGAAAACGTTATCGCTTTTTGTATGAAAATTTACAGCTTCACAATCCTCTTAAAGCTCGATAACAGTTTCTCGTATCTTTTTTTCTTTTTATTTAATTTTTTTAAGAAATTAATTTTTATTTGTCTTGTGAAATTAGTAGTCTGACCGTTGTTTGCCACTGATAATTTTGCACTTTGTGAAACTTTTACTTCATGAATTTTGAACGAGTCTATGCTACAGTCATGTTAAGGGCTCACTTTATCATCCAGGAAGGAAAACGTGTTATGGATTCTCAGAAGTTTGTGTCTTACTTCGGTCAATTTATTTTTTAAAACTATTTTACCAAAATTACCTAGGCGCTGCATAATGCATCATCTCCAACGCGCAACAGGCCAGGCCGAAGGTGAGGGGCCACAGGGAACGGCTGCGCCCCCAGTTCAGAATATCATCAAGGCGCGCCGTCACCCACTCGGCTTTTGTCTGAATTTTCATAAATATTGCAAATTAATAAATAACATATATTCGTTAATATGAACATTTTTAATGTTTGTTGATTGTTAGAAGTATAATCTAAAAACTCACCATTCTCAATAAATTCTACTACGCTGCAATGAAACACGACACAATTCATATTATACTCTTTTGTTTTCCGTTGAGTCGTATAAATTGAATACCTTGTAAATATATGACCAACTGATACGACACCTTTTTGTATGCTAAGACACTCATAGACTAGTCCGTCTGTAGTAAGCGTGACTGCAGAGCATGTGGCCCCGAGTTTGATTTCCGTGTCGGGCCAAAAATCAGTTCTAGAGTTTTCCTGTTAAGAAACTCTCAGTAGCAGCCCTGATTTAGGAAGATGGCTGTGCGCCTGACCTCTCTTCAGTCGTATGGATTTACCGTTCTATCAGACTCTATCAGAGTGAAGGAATAGAGAGTGCACCTTTGTTTGCGCAAATACTCAAATAATCTCAGCACATTACTTGATGGGGAAAGCTTGCGCATGTAGTCGGCTAGAAGCAATTTTCAAGATAAGCAATAACCAAAAAGAATAAAAGTAACAACACGTTAACATTGTTACCGAAAAATCGTTAAACGCAATCTCTATCTCTCTCCTCTTAACATTGGCTTTGTCTGCATCGAAGTAGCGATTTCTTATCGTCCTTATTACCCTCTTCAAAGTTATCCAGTCTATTAATCTCCAAATCAACAGCACTAAGTTACTATGACGTCTCAACTTATCCCAATATTCGGAGTGTAGTAACGTAATCCACCCCTTGATCCTCATCTAGCGGTTCATTACAGACATGTCGAGTACGAGATACCGTGCAGTTGGAGGAACCTACACTTTTATCCAATTACGTACGGGTATGTAATTGGATTGGAGTATAAAGTCGTGGATCGCATGAATGAATGAATGTTATTGATAATATTATACTCGATATATTTGTCAATACTTATTGATATATAAATGAGCATTTGTTTCTCGAAAACGGCTCTAACGATTTGAATTAACTTTTTTGCCGATTTCAAAGTAGGAGAAGGTTCTCAATTCGACTGGATGTTTTTGTATGTTTGTTACGCAATATCTTTGTTAAATGTAAACCAATTTTAATACGAGTAATACTTGTTTTAAGGTGGGGATTCCCAAACTATTTTGGACTAGAGACCCCTTTTCCGAAATGAACCTCAGACCCCATAGCCAAATTACTTTAAAGATCCTATATCTATTTTTTTTTCACAATTGACACAAAATATTTACCGATTTTAAAACTTTGCGGTTGGTTAAGTCAGTAAACTTAACATCTTTTTCTCATCAAAATTTGACAAAATAAATAGACATAAAATTCAGTAAATATCAAGTGTAATTATTAATACAAATTACAGTTACAAATTATCAGTTCGTTTATGTCGACCACAATGGAATTTGAGAAACCGATTTCGACCCGAAGGGGTCGATGTTGACCACTGGGAATCCCTGTTGTAGAGCAAAGATGTGTCCGCTACGCTGCCTGTGTGTGTATGTGTCAGCGGAATTCATGTCTTCAAAATATTTTTTAACAGACTTGCAAGTTTCGATGTTTTCCTTCATCGCGTAGGACGTGGTATAAATTGAGTTAAAATTGTAATTAACAAATTACTAGTGTCAGCGTGGATCGAACCCATCGATCGAAACCTGGAACTTTTTAACCTTATATGCGTAAGATATTATATACGGGTTGTACCGGTAGGTTAGAATGAATGGGCAGGTCTAACTTTGTACTTTCAAAGCGAGTTCGTGGTCGAAACAGTTTGGGAGGACGTCACAGTTATAATGTATTACTACGCATTAAGACCCCCATTCCGATCGTATCACGCAGTTGACTAGTTATGTACGAAGGGGTGAAAGCTGATGGAGACCATTTATTGCCATTGTTTCAATTTAAATGCTTTTGAAACGAGAACTCATGGTAAATGGAAAACCTAAAAATAAACTGTAATCGATATGACGATATGTAAACTCGTAATCGATAGTCTTGTTTTGTGAGATACTCTACAATGCATCAAGATAAAAACATTCTTCCTTCATTTCAATTAGTACCTAACAGTTCACTTCTTCCATTGAGCCTCCCGCGCAGTGCCATAATCGCCACGCTTGGCTGGTGGATTGGCGACCGCAGTTCCAGACTTATCGCATCATAAGCTCTAGTAGTCACCGTTACCGGTCTAGATAATTTACGTCTATTATATAAGATAGTGGCGGTGTAGTGGCGGAGTAAGAATATCCACCATTTATACGTGGTAGAGCCACGCTGCAGCTATATTATGGTTGTAGCACGAATGGGTCGGCTCGGCCGGGGTAGGACCACGCTCTCTCAGAATACCAGCTTAAAATGGCAGCGTAATGCTGCTGTGTTTCGTTTGTTGATTGTAGAGATCCGGAGACCCTTTTTTAATGGAAACGAGGCAATCCATCTTAGTCCTCAGGGGTGACAACGCATCTTCGTTTTGATTCTTAATTGGGGATAAATATCTCCTGTCTATGGGCCACAGCATCCACTTACCATCATGTGTGCTGTGTGCCATCCTAATTCTATATAACAATTAAATGAACATCCGCTACCCCATACCATCCCGCGGGTGTCGTAAGACCCGCCGGGGAAACAAATCAGGAGATGGGCAGTAGAGTTATCCTAATTACAACTAAAAATAAATAACTGCGGTGGCCAACTTGCTTACCAAGCGTGGCAACTATGGCAAATTTCCCTATCTATTGGGAATACCTATGTTCAGCAGTGGACTCTAATAGCATGTATCGGTAATGGTATAAAAGATGGGTATACTGCCATCTATAGGAGGCCGTGAGATATTACTGTTACACCCAGTTTCTAAACACCCACGAAACGATATAGGTATACCTATAACGTTTCGTGATATAGATATATATAGATGAGTTCTCTATGTGATGGATCCTATAATACCGCTGTCGCACTGCTTACTGCAATGAAAACTTTATTTATACTAATGTTATATAAGACAAAGAAATAAACTTGTTAAATAAACCAAATAAAACATCTCGTCTTGGATGCAATTCGAACTTAAAAAGCTTTACAATTACATATACATAGAATTTGTTAGGTTTGTTCTAAATTAAAATATTAATAAAATATTATAGGCACAAACCGCACAAAATAGCTGAAATAAAGTTAAATAGAACTTATTCAAAAATGTGCTATAAAACCATGCATGCTTACACGCAGTCTTAAGGTATTTGGGGATCGGATCACAGCCTTATCCAATAATTTGTGTTTCCGTGCCAGTGGAATTCCCGATATCCCCTCTCATTCCGGCTTATACCGAGCTGCCCACAATCTTAAGTTGGTATCGGATATTTTCTATTTTTGTGTCACGCTTAATCTTTTCTTTTGTGGATTTTGTGTTTGGAAAGTTTTATAGATAATGTATATGTAATATTTCTCATAGTTAAAAAATAACAAATAAGTAGTGTAGTGTAAAACCACATAAACGATAAGCATATAAATTAAAAATACAAAATCAGCAAAAGAAAACTTAAATATCAACACTTTCTTTCATCAGCTTGCGCTAGACATAGACCTCTTCCATTACAGATGATAACACATCAATACATGTACTCTTACTATAATAATATAATAATTTATTTATTTGTCACCACAAACGACATGGAAGATACATTAGTGTTACATCTCTATTTTAACAGTATTATGTCATTCATGGGAGACTGGTGCCCGTTTGGTTCAAAGACCCGTATTACAGGTCACCAGCCCCCCCCCTCCGAATTTACTTGGCAATAAGTATAATATAATACAGAGATGACTTATGTTATGGTTAGAAATAATATTATATAGAGCGATTTATCAGTTTGGATTTGGAACAAAAATAAAAACCACGTATTTTTGTAGCGTAAGTATGATGTATGTCCGTGAATATTTACGAGATAATTTGGAGTAATTGTTCAGTATCTGTGTATGAAAGAGTCTGAAGATATTCCACGAGTCTATTTTTACTAAGAACAAAAGATATCAAGTATAGCCTATTGCTGACGTACGATCAACTGTAGCGACTCAGTTAATTAGGTTTAGACATTACATGACACATTGCTAATTGAAGCATAGCAGAAACCAATGCAGTGCCGAGCTGGCTTCGACAATTTTATTACCTTATTAGTACTGACCTGGGGCATTATACGCTTGCTAATCAAATTTTGTCCTTGTACGTGTTTTATGGGCTATTATAAGTAAGTAAATTGATCCGTTTAATTGATTTATTGTTTCTATGAAGATATCAACTGCGTTGGATATGTAAATGCTGAAATTCCGTTTAACTAGATATTCTGTGCTAAAAGTGCATATACGCATTATGGGGTATCCGAGTCCGATATACCGTTTATACGATAGGGTAAGAGGCGTAGGCATTTTAAGAAAAGATAGGTTACATTGTTGACACTTAGAAACCTAAACTAGGGCAGTCTCAACACTTTATGTTTTAAGCACACTCATACAAATACACTAATAAACATTTTTTTATAGAATAAGGCTGAAAAACAAGCAAATAGTCCATCTATGGTAAATGGATGCTGTGCCCCATAAACATCTACTTTTGTAAAACAGACCTTTTACCCTTGAGGGCTAATAGAATGCCTTGTTTCCAGTAAAAAGGGTCTCCGAATCTCTACACTCACCATACGAAACATATAATTAAGCTACAATTTTACGCTGGTATTCTGTGAGAGCGTGGTCCTTCCCCGGTCGAGCCTGCTCATTCGTGCTACAACCACATATATAGTTATAAACATATAGTTGAAGCTTGGCTCTATATATATGCATTATTAGACTCTTATTACACTATAAAATTATATAGAAACTGCAGTACTAACGATATTTTGTCTGTTGACTGTAGATTTCGCTTTAAAATAAAAAAATAAAAAAACGACGCTTACGCCCCCTCTACATGGTATCTATCTAGCTAGCACACTGGCTAATAACTGGGCGTCTTTCACCAACCAGATCACTGACAGATACGAATTAAGCACTCAGAGCTGAGGTTTGCAGACCACTGCTTGCACAGCGGTTAAATACCCCACAGACCCTTACAGACGATTGGTCCTGAACCAAAACATCATCACCATCATCAGCATCAGAGTCAGATGATGCCGTAAAAGCTAAAAGGCTAACAGCAGTAATGTTACGATATATAGAGGTTACGGGCTACCAATGAAGGAAGGCATTCCATCTATGTTCTTAGTCAATGGGTTGTAGTGGTTACTGACTATCATCAGGACTGTTTGCTAGTTTATACGGACTTAGATGAATTTTTTCGTAATCAATAAAAGGTGATATAGAATAACAATACTGAGTCTGTTTTTTTTTGTTACGAAATAATAGCATTATGTTAATATTTAACGCCGGTTATCCGTAATAACTTGGTCCTTCACAGGTGAAGTCATTCCGAAAGTAATTCTTTAAATTAGTGATATAATTATCGGCTATATTTCAATCATACCTTACATTACAAAACACATAATTTAAAGCATTTCTTTCTCCCTACGTCCCTTCCTTTTTCATTCAGCCTAGGTTTTAATTTTTATTTTTGGATGTTCCAGCTTCCAGACATTTTCATTTAGCTTTGCAGTTTCCTCATTGAAAGCTCTTAATATTACTGTTACTGGTGGTTACTGAAAAAATTATAAAAGTCTTGCATCGGGCACATTAATTGTATTAAAGCAGGCCATTTTCTTTTTGAAACATTTAACAATTCAAATTTTTATCTGTGAAAACATTTGCAGAGTGTTAAGGAGGGAAAAGTTATACATTTTTCCCTCCTTAACACTAAACTTAAAAAGGAGAGAAATGTAATCGGTTCGCGAATCACGACGCACTTTAGCCAGTGCTCTCTTTTTATCTGTTGAATAAACAATATTGTTTAAATTGGAGCTTATTTAAATATTCCAAATGGTTAGTGCTTTTAATAATATTAAAACCTAGCTGTGCCCGGCATTCGTTGCAGCTTGGAGTGTTTTTTTTGTCAGACACATTCGCGCGCTCTACTCTTTAAGTTTTTTTATTTTGTAAACGGATGAGTTGTACAGAGAAACGTACAATTAAATTATTAGATAGATTATTTTACACTTCGCTTTAATTTTTTTTCAATCTGATTTACTGATTGCTTTCTGAATCATAGGAACGCATGAACACTTTACATTGTCACAAAAATGTGTGTTAAATTAATTTCATGTAATCGTAGGTATTCAATATATATATATTGAATACCTACGATTTCATTCAATAAAGTCTTCTATTCCGTCGGAATCATTTTGGCTTGTGAAAATAAACTAATATTGCCAGAAATTAAACTGTAGTTCATTTCACCAGGACTGTAAATTTCCTTTAAGAAACGTATGAAACTAATGGAAAAATCGTGTAATAGAATCGTAAGAAAAAAATGACATTAGGAAGTAAGGAGAGCGACGAGCTATTACTTCACACTGTTATTCTATGCAAGCTGGTCCCTAGCCGACCCATACGAGCTGCTGAACCCAAGTTGCCCTGCTGACTGATCTACTAATTATGGTGTATCCATTCTATAACGCCGAACCTAAAATACCTTACTTATTAAGTACAATTAAATTCACCTGTCCAGGATAGTGAAACGGCGAGTAAAGCCTTTTCTCTCCCAACTTATAAGATTTACTCCCATGAATAGGCACTGGAGGTTTCTTAGCGCCGCCGCTCTTCTTCCTACTTCCAACTGTTGTCTCACGAAGGATACGGTAATTACATAAGATATGGGTCTGTCTCGCCGCTTCATAGTAACTGGTTAGAACTGAAAGCCCCTTGGAAATGGGGAGTTTGTTTCTAGTACTGTTGAAAATCGTTCTTAGATTATAATGGATATTTATATTTTTATTGAACATGTTTTTCTTTAAAAAGTATACTATAAATTATAAATATATAATATATTTACAATATGTAATGTTAATTATATAATAATCAGGGATAATATCGAAATCATTAAAAAGAAGAAGAAAAATTAAAAATAAATTACTATATAACATCATTATATTATATAATATAATAATATGATATGATATAAATAACCGTGAAGTGGCGGTGTGAGAATATCTACTTCACTACCATATTAGCCCGTGGGTGTCTAGAGGAAACTAAAATAGGGGATTGGCAGGAGCTTCTTCCTTATAACGACTCAACATTATTAAAAAAACTGCGTTTGCAGACCCGCTTACCAAGCGTGGCAACTATTTATGGCTGTAATGGATAGGATTTAATATAACTACACTTGGCTTTATTAAAATAAAACTGAATTTTATTAAATGCTTTAAGCTAGATAAGAAAGGAAAATTTGCACCAAAAAGACACAGTCACTTCACACGTGCTACAACATGAATTGTTGAAATGCAGATTTTCCGTGCAGTTCTAGTTTAAAATAATTAAACTTAGAATTTAAATTTGATGATATTAAAAAGTTAATTTAAATATTTAAACCCTTAGTAACTTTATTTAACGACCATCTTTATTCACAGTATTTATTTTATAAATACTTAATATACATACAATATACATTTTATTTATCGTAACCTTCATCAATTCAGGATTATTTTAAACATTTTGTTTATTTAGGAGACAAAGATTTACGTAAATTTTGAATGTATTTGAACAGAGTTCTTTCAGATTTCGCCTAAAGTCGTTAATGGACTACAAGGTCAATTACCTGCACAGTGTTACTCTCAAAGTTTCTCCAATTGCCATCATCATGTTTACGTGATATATTTAATTTACTTTTTTGTATGTAAGGCTTAAATCAAATTATTTCGCAGCCAAATTACATTACCTTCGGCTTAGTGTACGTGACAACATGTGTCACTGAGGTTCGGATTTTCATTCTGAATTTAAAAAAGGTCTGTGTCGTTAACATCGTGCAGTTAAAAAGGTTCTGTATGAATCTTACATATTATATTCACCCTTTTTCATGTTTTGCAAAGGCTTTTTACAATATTTTTTGCTTGAAATTAACATACTAAAGCTTTATTTTTGTAAACGTTACGTACAGTATTATTCCATCATCTATTTCATCAGTGTTCTCTTTTTTGAGGATTGAAATAAATAATTATAACCTGCTTAAAATTATTTATTTCTTCTGTGTTTTGAGTCGCAGCAGAAACTCATCTCACGCTAGAGTTTGCCGACTGCTTTATGCTGTATTTATCTTTTGAAATAACACATTGACTATGATATTGTGAAATGATGATATTTTCCAACCTGCACGCAACCTAAGCCACAGGAAAAAACGTAATATAATATTAATATATAATATAATCACTAATTTGCTTTATTTTTATATTATTATTGGCGATGTTATGCAGTATTACAATGGTTACGGACACCAGAATATTTGTGTGTAACCGAATTTATTTGTTATTTTTATAAACCTGATGTTATTCATGTTTTTATAAAAACCTAATCTTCGTTATATCGATATAAATAATCTTGAACCATTAATATTATAAGAGGTGCATTTTATAAGGGAATAGTTCACAGGAGTAAATGAATATATAACAGTTAAATCTCGCTACGTTCATACACTTGTTGTAGAATAAAAGCTGCGGCCCGGATTTCCCTGAGTTCGTCCCAGTTTCTCGTCTCGAGTACTTTCAAAGAGTTCCTGAACTGAAAGTTGTGAGATTTCGCTTTGTACGGTTTTACTAATATCTAAGAATTATAAAAGTTGACATTTATTATTATCTTCAAGAAAGATATGTTAATAATTTGTATTATAATTCGTATCTCTCTCGGGAACTTTGTACCATCCGTATAACAGAACATATTTACTCTCTAGTCCGTATCACACAAGTAGTACCTTAATCTGGTTAATAATACCTCAATCTAGTTAGTTCATGGGTACATTTTATTTTACAATTCCGAGTGTCCATGTTGTTATGCGTGTTCCTTTTTGTACATTCGGACTCTCGTGTCGCTAAGGTTTTATACCAGAATTGTTTAAATAAGAACCATGTTTATTCCTCTATATTTTCACAGATGTTTGAATAAATGGGAGGAAGTTTTTAATTCGTTTATATTTTTACATGAATATTAATTATATAAATTACTGGTAAAAACTACGTAAACTTGTACTGGCTTAAATTACTGTTCATTGTTAAATAAACAGTAAAGTGCGCGATTTGTTATACGTACTAATAATTCATTATGTATACGAGTGACAGAATAGCAAAGTTATAATATTCTGTCAGCGACTGTATGTTGATAATGTATGTGATATGAACCGATATTGTTGATTCTTTTGATGATAAATTATTTTGTTAATTTCAGTTCTTTAAATTTGGCTTTTACTTTTTATAAATATTAATTCTTACATTTCTCTACTTTTTTCTTTTAGGCAATTTTCATTAGTTATGAGTTCACTGAAAGTAGGAAATCTCAAAATGAGATTTATAAAACTTTATAAAAAAAACTAATCACGTCCGGTAGGGGTAAGTGGGGGTGGCTTTACAACATCCCCCCTCCTCACCCCCCCACACCCCCCAATTCAGGCGACTTCAAATACTAAAACCTTACCCAAAATTTGAGCAGAGGTGACCTTTAAGTTAACCTTTAAAGCTAAAAGCTTAAAATTTACCATGATGTGTCTTATGGTCACTTGTGTTTATCTTTTTTATTTTGAAATTTGGTGAATAGGCCCTAACGTACCTGATGAAGAGCATCACTGTATTCTAAGATGATTCTATAAGAAGAACTTGGTAGAGGAATTGTGTTTTTACTTGTGTTCATTGTCTTTTAAAGAGATTAGGAAGCAACATCTTCATCCATATTTTATTGCTTTTTTGTTTCATGTTTTATAGTTACGTATAAATTAAACTTGTTTTGCAATAGGTAAAGAGCTTTCAATTAATAAAAAAAACTGTAGTCAACCTAAACCAAACCTAAAAATAAACTTGCTATTCTGCTGCTGCTCCTCGTCAAGTATTTATTATTCGTAACAGACGAGAAACTTGCTGAGTTTTTTACGGAGAAAGTTGTTTTATTAAATCCCTTTTGTGTCGTACTCGTCGTCGCTAATGGAATCCATCGGGACGTTGTTCCCTCGAGCGAAATACGCTTAAGGCGTATTGATCTGTTTTTGCTCCTAAAATTTCGGGATGGAATTTTCCTTGCGATAACATCGTTGAAAGTTATTGAATTGCAAAAGGTGTGATTTCATTTACACACATTATCTTATAAAAAATGGATTTAGGATTTATTATTTAGAAGTTGAAGATTAATAGTTTTTTACCATGGCAATAAGCAATTTTTTTATAGTATAAGGGTTGCAAACGAGTATTCGGTCCACCTGATTCTAAGTGGCACACAGATAACATTTATCATCGAATAAGAATCAAAATGCAGATATGCACTGTCACGCCTAAGGACTAAGATGGAATGTAGAACAACACAACACCGTGGTCTCCTCGGTCCAGCCACCATTCCCCAATAAAAGGAAAAAGGGAAAAAAAAAAAAAAAAAAAAAAAAAAAAAAACAATTTTTTTTTAAAAAATAAAAAACAAAAAAATAAAAAAGATTTTTTTAAAAAATCCCACTCGCTTGTCACAGAAATTGCTGCGTGCAGGTGCAGGTGCAGGCGTCAGGTTCGTCTCCAGTGGTAAATCTACGGGAATACATCTCATCCCCTATTTCCATTTTTTTACAGGATAGGGTGACAAACGAGCACACAGTCCACCTGATGGAAAGTGGTTGCTGTAGCCCATAGACATCTACATCTATCCTCGATTACGAAACAAAATGCAGATGCGTTGTCACCCATGGGGACCAAGATGGAATGCCTCGTTTGCAGTAAAAAGGGTCTCCGGTTCTCTACACTCACCATACGAAACACAGCAGCATTAAGCTACTATTTTACGCTGAGTATTTTGTGAAAGCGTGGTCCTTCCCCGGTCGAGCCGACCCATTTGTACTACAACACTACTATACTACTAATATAGCTGCAGCATGGCTCTACCACGTATTGTAAATTTCAGAGCAGAGCTATAAGTTAAATTATCCCTCGCCTTCAGAGTAAAATTTAAATTCGCTGGAAAATCAAGTTATAACGTTTAGATTAAACTATCAAAATGCAAATACACTTGATAATATTTTTGATTTAGTTAGCTCAAAGACCGCGGGCTTTAGGTGAATCTGAACCAATCTGACAAAAAAAGATAAGATGTTTTGCGAAAAACAATAAAGTTGGTTTTATTTAACAACAAAAAAACTAATTTCCCTTAGTTTCGAGTGATTTGTACTGCGCGAATGGTCCCGGGTGACTTTTATTATGTCATTGTTAATCCGGGCTACCTTTCAGCTCTTGATTACCGTTTCAGCTTTGTATTACCCTTAATCAGATTTACACAAAATGAGCTAACAATCTTGAAATCCTCAAAAAAGATCCTCTTGGGCTTAGCGACTAAACCTGTATTTTTTTGGGGTTTTTTCAATATTTCCTAGTAAGACACGTTTGCTAAATTTACTTTTTAGTTTTCGAATATTTTTTTTTCGTTTTATGCTTTTCTTGTCTTGTTATTATAGCGAAAAATATATTTTCAACTTGTATTAATTTATATTACTGACTTAATTATCGATGTACGACTGTTAATTAGAAAATATTACAAATATTTATTTTTTATGTTCTTTCCATGAATGTAAAAAAGAGACGAAAATATTTTAATGCGACATTTCATAACGGATCTTCACATATCATTAGTCAAATATACGTATCACAGCTAAGGGCAGGAAAGGGAGTGGTGGCAGGCCTGCTGTACACCTTGTTTAATTTATGCTGGGAATTGAAGCGGGAACCGGAAGACTGGTGTAAATCAGTTATAGTTCCAATATATAAAGGAAAAGGGCCATAGCAGGACTGTCAAAACTACCTTGGTATCAGCTTGCTTAGTATTGTGGGCAAACTGTATGCCAAGTTGTTAATTGAAAGAGTTATGAAAGAAACTAATGGAAACATTTGGGATGATTACGGAGAAGTTTTTGGCCAAAACAAAAAAGTTTTTGTGCGTTCATGGACTTGGAAAAGGCTTATGACAGGGTGGACAGGACTGTGCTATGGCAAACACTGAATCCATTTGGGTTGAGCCCTGGTTTGATACAGGCATCAAGGTCTCTTTATAGGGGCTCGAGTGCTTATGTCAAGATCAACGGGGTCTACTCAGGCTGGTTACCATCCAAAAAGGTGTCAGACAGGGCTTTGTAGCTTCCCCGTGGCTGTTCAACCTATTTATGGACAGATGTTCGCAAACTTTGAAAGGTGAAGAATGGGCGAGTTAAGCGTCAAATCCCTTTTGTACGCCGATGATCAAGTCATATTTGCGTCTTCGGCGGCCGAGTTGCAAATAATGGTTACATTAATGAACTGGTCATTAAAAGAAAGGGGAATGAAAGTGAACGCAAGTAAGACGAAAGTGATGGTTTTCGAAAGAGAAGAAAGTAAAACGTTATGTGAAATAAGAATAGAGGGGGAGTTGATTGAGCAAGTGGATGAGTTCGTGAATTTGGGATGTGTATTTAACAGGGACGGTAAATATGATAAGGATACAGAACGACGAGTGAATGGGGCTCTACACTCTTTTATATGTATGGTAATAAAAGTTAGGTGTGGCAGAAGAAGCACGAAAGTAAAATAAATGCTGTAGAAATGCGGTCTTTAAGAAGTATGCTAGGACTGAATCTAAATGACAGGGTGAGAAATTGTGTGATAAGAGAAAAATGTGGTATGCAAGATGATGTTGTGACCAGGATTAAAAAAGCAATGCTTCGGTGGTTTAGTCATGTAGAAAAAATGAGCGAGGAAATAGTGATAAAGCAAATTTATATTGCAAGTGTGAACGGCAGAGTCGTGAAAGGACGCCCTGGAAAAGGTTCATCGACCAAATTGGCGACATTTTTATAATAGGCCACATTAGGAGAGTACCCTTAACCGACGAGCGTGTATGCGTAGATTTATGGATGTAAAAGAGGCGAAAAAGGTGTGTCAGCTTCGTGCCAAGTGGAAGTCCGTAGTCTCTGCCTACCCCTCTGGTTGACAGGCGTGAGTGTTTATGGATGTAAAAGAGGCGAAAAAGGTGTGTCAGGATCGTGCCAAATGGAAGTCCGTAGTCTCTGCCTACCCCTCTGGTTGACAGGCGTGAGTGTTTATGGATGTAAAAGAGGCGAAAAAGGTGTGTCAGGATCGTGCCAAGTGGAAGTCCGTAGTCTCTGCCTACCCCTCTGGTTGACAGGCGTGAGTATTTATGGATGTAAAAGAGGCCCAAAAGGTGTGTCAGGATCGTACCAAGTGGAAGTCCGTAGTCTCTGCCTACCCCTCTGGTTGACAGGCGTGAGTGTTTATGGATGTAAAAGAGGCGAAAAAGGTGTGTCAGGATCGTGCCAAATGGAAGTCCGTAGTCTCTGCCTACCCCTCTGGTTGACAGGCGTGAGTGTTTATGGATGTAAAAGAGGCGAAAAAGGTGTGTCAGAATCGTGCCAAATGGAAGTCCGTAGTCTCTGCCTACCCCTCTGGTTGACAGGCGTGAGTGTTTATGGATGTAAAAGAGGCGAAAAAGGTGTGTCAGGATCGTGCCAAATGGAAGTCCGTAGTCTCTGCCTACCCCTCTGGTTGACAGGCGTGAGTGTTTATGGATGTAAAAGAGGCGAAAAAGGTGTGTCAGGATCGTGCCAAGTGGAAGTCCGTAGTCTCTGCCTACCCCTCTGGTTGACAGGCGTGAGTGTTTATGGATGTAAAAGAGGCGAAAAAGGTGTGTCAGGATCGTGCCAAATGGAAGTCCGTAGTCTCTGCCTACCCCTCTGGTTGACAGGCGTGAGTATTTATGGATGTAAAAGAGGCCCAAAAGGTGTGTCAGGATCGTGCCAAGTGGAAGTCCGTAGTCAGGCGTGAGTGTTTATGGATGTAAAAGAGGCGAAAAAGGTGTGTCGGGATCGTGCCAAATGGAAGTCCGTAGTCTCTGCCTACCCCTCTGGTTGACAGGCGTGAGTGTTTATGGATGTAAAAGAGGCGAAAAAGGTGTGTCAGGATCGTGCCAAGTGGAAGTCCGTAGTCTCTGCCTACCCCTCTGGTTGACAGGCGTGAGTATTTATGGATGTAAAAGAGGCCCAAAAGGTGTGTCAGGATCGTGCCAAGTGGAAGTCCGTAGTCTCTGCCTACCCCTCTGGTTGACAGGCGTGAGAGTTATATATATATATATATATATATATATATGTATACAAAACATAGTATGCTGATTAATTACACTGGTCCGTAAAAAAATGTTTGTACCATAACTAAATCTTTTTTCATCTTTTGTTTTCTAAATATATATGTATTAAGCTTTATTGAACGAAAAGGACTTTTCAGTTAACTGTGGGGCACTTAGCCTCGGGCGATCGGCTAATTGTGGAAAATCAATACAAAATGCCGAACCCAACTTTCATTGGTTCTTAATTAGTGATCGATGGTTCTTAATGGGAAATAACACTGCAAATCGGAGACATACAAACCTACAAATCAAAGAGTGTTGTTTACTACTGCCAGGGATATCATCAACCAGTTTTAAACAAAGAAGATTACAGATGCGTTACCATCTCTAAAGACTAAGATGGAATGTCACTTCTACCTACACACTACCCTTCAGGAATAGGTATTACCAAAATACGGTTTTATGTACGTCTTAGAAAAACAATATATCGTTTACGAAGGCTGTCAACTTCGAGAAAAGCAAACGTTAGTTTCACTTAAAATTAAATAGCATTAAAAGCAACAATTAAACTAATGTTCAAATTGGCATGGAATATATGCTTATACTTTAAAACCGACGCCGTATGTCTATCACACGTATAAGCAGAGTAATTTTCCGGTGTAGTGAGCCGGCAATGCCACTGACAATTATCGAAACGTTAGTTTATCGGGAAATAGTTGGATAGCTGGGAGGTAGACACACTTTTAATGGACTGTCGTTTCTTATCACAAGATTACTTTTTGCACAAATATTTTAAAAATGACAAATGAGCTTACAGTACACCTGGTATTAAGAGACCACTGCAGTCCATGGATACCTACAATCAGCTTCATATAAAAAAGGTTTCAGATGTGTTGTCACTTCCGAGTACTAAAATGAAATACCTCATTACCTCTAATCGTACCGGCTCTCTATACTCTTCAGACCAGAACACAGTAGAGCATACACTGTTTGTCTGATGTTTGCTTGATGGAATGTCTCACTGCTTGGCGGTAGAAATTGGTTTGTATAAGTACAGTACAAAAGTACTATAAATATCAAAGAAAGAAAATTTTAAACACAGGTTTATTTTTATTTTAACTATGAGTAGAACTGCATAGATAGGATCTTGAAAGTCATCTACCAAAGCAGATAATTGAACCGATATAAACGTAAATTTCGTAGTAAGTGTGTAAGCTACCCAAATCCGACCCGCTTGTTCTATTCCATGTCAAATATCTAAGCACTACATAATTAATATAATTCATTTGTCAACTATGATAAGCGCATGCATATATAAAATAAAGTAAGAACCTGTTATTGGCATAAAACATTATTTTAAGTATTTATGTTTATTATATTATGTTTATATGTGTTATGTATTTATAACGTGCTGGTTGGTTCTGTGGTCAATAAAGAAAAAACAAAAGTTATCACTTACTTTTACTATTTGTAGGAACCCTGCTCATAAAGCGTAAACGCTCACTTTTTGGTATGAGCCTCTGTTATTAATAGAGAGGATTTGCTTTAATCGCGGTGATTTGCTGGCGCATTACCAGACATTTCCCATTTTTGACGTCATCGGTCATAGGACTGCGAAGAGCATCTTCATCTGATACAAGATATAATATAATACGATTGCAATATGGATGTCTTCTAAGCAAGAGTGCGTATGCTTTTGTTACTGCTTGATTTAAAATCTAGGACTTCAACAAAGTTGACCGCCAGGTAAGATATTAGTGGTTATATTTTAACGCACAGACTTGAAAAAAAGACTATGAGATGGGTTATATCTTGAGGCTAAACTGCAGTGTCTCTTGAGTAACCATTTCTGACTCTCTACTTTTCTTGGTTTTTTTAAACAAAATTAGGGGTGAAAAACGAAAACCGTGATAAGTGAGTGTTATGGCACGTGGAATTTATCCCTGATTAAGAATGTTCAGTCGTTGTCGCTTCTAAGAAATAAGATGGGATGCATCATTACCAGATTAAGTAAACCGTATAAAATTAATGTTCTGTCAGTTGCAACTAAGCACATGTGTGCGTGAGTGCGTGTCGTGTTCTTACAAATGAGCTGTCGTTCGGTTGAAATTCTCGCTGCGATCCTGATTTTGAATACTTACATTTTATAGGCCTTTGAAAACAGCCTGCATAAGCTTTTTCGAAATTGTAAGTGTTATTAGATTTAAATTAATAAAAATATACTTATTTTTTATGTCATGTTTTCCTACATTTTATTATTTAATTTAAAAACTTTTACTGTATTATCTTTAATGCATTTTTCTACTACCACTTAGACGTTAGATAGAAGCAAGATGTTATTTGAACAGAAAATTCAATTGAAAATTCTAGACTACAACTAAAGTCCGCTCACGTATCTAGAAGCGAAAGCTCAATTATTTACTTACGTCTACTGTCTTACTGTACGTCTAATGTCCGTAGATGCCATTTACACTCAACTTCCCTGTACATCATATAAAACTAGTTTTAATAAGTTTAAGTCTACTTAGAGTTACTAAATTACTTCCGATTGAAGTGTATAATTGTGTTTCAACTAATATCGGTACGATTTATGTGAAACTAATTCCGAACCTTCAGGGTTTAATGAAGAGGGTCAATGAGGCTTGTTAATTTAGCATTGTCTATAGCATCGAGATGATAATTACGACTACTCGATCGATCGATGTTAAATGCTTTAAATTTTTAAATTTGCTTCGGCATACAGTTTTATTGATTATAATTTTAAATATTATATTGGTAAAATTAAAAGTCAATCGTTGGCAGCATGAAAAACACGTGAAAATGGTCGTTTAAATATTTATTATTTGTTTTCGTGAAAAAGAAAGCCTATAATTTGTCTATGTATGTATTACTTATGTAAAATCCTCCGCAAAAGCAGTGCTACGTAATCGTGTAAAGGCTCAGGGGTAGATAAATGTCCAGTACCTTAGAATATTTTGTTGCATTTAAATCGCGTCCATCTATTTATTATCCATTTAAATTATTTGCTGATTTTTATGAACAGTTAATTTTAATACTAGTACGTAAAAAGATTTAAAGAGATTGGCAAAATACCTGAAGCTGTCTGGCATAAAATCACAAATTAATGAATATAAAATCTTTTATAACTGCTCTGTCAAAAAACAGTTCTTCCATTTAGTGTTTAAATAAACGAAAAGGCGAAAAAATATTTGTTTTTCTTCGTAATCGTTATCCTTCTCGCTTACGCTGGATATACGCTTTGCTTGGCGAACGGGTTGGCGATAGCAATCGTTTCGCACTTTTTTTGATCTCACGCCACGGGCTTTGTATTTTACATCATCCTTCAAATGATGACTTATGGCAATATTATTCAAACGTTTTACATTCCTTTTAAGCCTCGATAAAAGAGATAAAAAGGACTAATTTATTAGTAACCTTCATTTGGCTGGACCAATCTTATCAGCCTGGAACACAGGCACAGAGTAGCTAGCACTTCGGTATTCTATAGGATGTATTTCGGAGAGTGTACGCAGGAATTGTATTGTCTTAATTCGTTACTCCCCTTGCCACTATCGAACAACCAGGCGATCGGCGGCTGAACACAAACGCTTTGCTTCGTTTTTTGTAATGCGTACAGCAAAGGCGTGGAATAATCTGTCTGCATTAACAGAAACAGAAACTTTTTTATTCAATGTAGATTATAAACAATACTTATTGAAAGTCAATTTTTTCATATACCATTTGTTTCTCCCTCCGGTTACCAAACTTTCAAACCGGGGAGTGAATAGGCTTTTGTTACGCTAAGGCTCAACGGCTCTGACGATATATGAAAAAAGTAAAGCAAATTTGCAGTCTATTTGCGTTCCACTGCTAGGTACTCGTCGTCGATTTCACATTTCACTCTGTTTCTCAAGTTATTAGCGTGTTGGCTGACTTCACATGTCTGCCCAGGTTTTCTCACGATGTTTTGGATCAAGTTTTTCCGAGCACACGTGTCAACGCTTAAATTGTAATTAACAGTTTCATTGGAGCTGGCCTTAGCCAGCCAGCCTTAGCCTGTGAACGCTTAGCCCTTGAGTTATACAACGCCTCTTCTAATAACTATAATGGGTAATACTTAGATACATCTTGTAGTGACGGTGTAAGAGTATCCACTCCCCATATCACCCCGTGAGTGTCGTAAGAAGCGGCAAAGAGAAACAAATCAGGAGATGGGCAGCAACGTCTTTCTCATAACGACTAAAAATAAAAAATAAACTTGCAAATATCCCCCTTAAGGGGAAATCTATGGGGGAGGCTTATATTCAACATTGTACTTTGTAACGGTAATGGTAATATAGATAAAGTTTATTATTATTGTTGTTGCAGGCTATGCACACTGCGCGTAACGCGGCTGCGCGTGTGCGGCGCGCTGGGCGAGGCGGGCGGCGGCGCGGCGGGCGGCGCGGGCGCGGGCGGCGGCGCGGGCGCGGTCATCCTGGCGGCGCGCATGCACAGCAGCAAGCGCACGCTGCGCTCCAACGACATCGCGGTGCCGCCGCTCGACGTCGAGCTCGACCTCTGCTTCTCGCTGCAGTACCCGCACTTCGTGAAGCGCGACGGCAACAGGTACACTTGGCAATATTTTTATATAATGAAATGTTTTGAGTAAGCGTGCGCCTATACGCCTGTACGAGTTCAGTAGAGTCACAATATGAGGTATAAGAGTGTAAGATAAGTTATGCGGCGAGTTGTTCCTCCGATAATCTAAAAATAGCTTCAAACCGGCGGCCCCGTCAGACGTTGTTTTACACAGGACAACTTACAGGGTCCAAAAGTTAAACTATAAAGGAAGCTACTCAAACACTCAAAATTTTAATGAAAATCGATCTAGCCGTTTAGGAAGAGTTCAGTGACATACACAAGCAAAAGAATTATATAGCGGCCAGTCTCAATGGCGATTAGTATCCTATCTGCGCTGGCGGGATTAGGCACAGGTGCACTCTCTATTCCCTTACTCTCATAGTGCGATGGGACGGAAATCCGACATGACCAGATGGAGATCAGGCGGCAGCTCTACCTGCTTTACGAACTGCTTTCCGAGGTGTGTATATTATAAAGAAGGGTTTTTTTATAGGATAAGGGTGACAAACGAGCACACAGTCCACCTGATTAGGGGGTAAGTGGATGCTGTGGCCCATAGACATTTACATTTAACCTCAATTAAGAATCAAAATGCAGATGCGTTGTCACCCTTGAGGACTAAGATGGAATGCCTCGATTCCACTAAAACGGGTCTCCGGTTCTCTACACTCACCATACGAAACACAACAGCGTTAAGCTATTTTAAGCTGGTATTCCTTGAGAGCGTAGTCCTGCCCCGGTCGAGCCGACCCATTTATGCTACAACCGTAGCAGCTGCAGCGTGGCTCTACCAAGTATGAAATGTTTGTATAACCTTGTTAATGCGAGTAGGTGATGTGAGATGAACATAGTCGCTTAGTCACTGAGTGAATTCGGGTGTTTATTGATTGGTCGGTTACACAGCAATGCAATATACGCTAGACGTAACGAGCCGATGTTAACATATATAAAAAAAAAATACCGCGTTTTTATTTACACGCTTATTTTCGGTACAAATTTAGATCAATTAATTTTAAACCGTCTTCAAATAAAATGTTCCCATTCATCATAATTCCTATATTATTTATATATTATGATTTTAGCACGAATGTGTCGGCTCGACCATGGAATATCTACCACACCCTTTTAATATACGAACGTAAAAAAGCAACTTAATGCAGCCAGATAAGTACCTAATGATGCTGCTCTGTTTCGGACGGTGAGCAGCGTATAGATAGGTTTTAATTGTAGTGAAAATTGAAATGTTGTTTTACATATAACTAAAAATCTACTGATGGTACTGAACGGTCTTTTGGAGATTAGACGGGAGCACAGAATTAAACTGTGTCATAGCCAAATATTGTTTTTTTTTTACAAAAGAACACTTCAGCAATATCGTCAATATCAAGAATGCTATTAATATCAAATGTTACAATGATAAAAAAAATTGACTTCTGATCGTAAAAACCGAGTCAAATGTATTAATATTTCATCGCATCATTCGACATTTCGTGAAATTATTGTATGTGAAGGCAGGGCGCTTTATTATATTACACATAATAAAGCATAATATACATTTATGTTTCATGCATATTTTAATAATAAAAGCTTCAGTTTGATATCAAAACTAGCTTTTTCCAACGGCTTTACTCGCGGGGACTTTGCCTAACTACAATAATTAATGTTCCATATCAATTTTGGGATCAACTTATTGTCTGTCAGTGTATCTGTCTGTCACAAACGTTATTTTCAGCGACATGATAATATTACGTTTATGCCTTAAAATGTTTACAACTTTAAAATAATTTTTACTATTAGTATAATATTTCGACCACAATGTTACCTATCGGATCTAGATTTCGTAATATTCTTTGTTGGCATCTATTGTTTTTTTTAAATATAATAAGAGTGACAAACGTGCACACAGTCCACCTGATGTTAAGCGGATGCTGTGGCCCATAGACATCTACATTTATCCTCGATTAGGAATCAAAAGGCAGATGAGTTGTCACCCCTGAGGACTAACATGGATTGACTCGTTTCCGGTAAAGTATATTGTGAATATTAGTCACTTTTGTCCATAATTATAGATTTTGCTAATAACTTTACAACAGCGTTACTTAATCTCAAAATCTTTAAAAATCTTCTCCATCACCTGTCTGGTGTAAACAGGATCGTTGCGATACTCCCTATCGGAATTTAATAGATTTTTGTGGAATGTCACAAAGTTGCCTTAAGACGCGAACAGAATGAAATAGGATGGTTGATTCTTCTGCGTCATAGCTAGACGCTACAGTATAGAAGTTTCTTATACGTTACTTGTAGTTCTTACTGCCAACCAAAGTCCACTGCTGAACATAGCCCCCCTTCATAGATTGCCTCATAGGAGATATTTGCCTCATTTGCCACACTTAACACGCTTGGCAACCGCAATTTTCTTTAGTTCTTACTAGAAAGACGCTACTGTGCATCTCCTGCTTGGGAACCATGTCGATAGTCTAACACCGCCCCTACCAGAGGTACGCAATTCATTTGTAAGACCACGCTTTTAATCGATGAAAACATGAAACAAAGTAGCCGCGATATAACCGAAATAATATTCTCACTAACTCAAAATAGGAATACAGAGGCACAACACCATACATGTTAATGTAGATACCACGGTCGTTTCGACCGGGCAATGCGTTTCTGTACAAACGGATACGTTCATAAAGCGGTCGTAAACTTTTGTGAAAATAGAAGGGAACTGCGGTAATTCGTATTGAGCTCGGTGACCGTAAGCGATGCGCATTGCGCGCCAAATTTTATTACGCAGAAAGCCGCACATTAGAAAATTTATAGCAACAGTAGTAAATTTAGGTGGCATTTAGTTCATTCCTTCTTATCGTATTACCCTACAACGTCTTTTGAGTTTACTCCTTAAGAATCAATTTTAACAAAAACTCTGTGGCTTCTGTCAAAATTCCAGTATTCAAACGTATAGAAATAATTCAGAAAACTCGACCATTAAAATATTTAATTAAAATAAAATCTTATATGCCATTTATATGTGGCTTTAATACCTCTGCATTCTGCATTGGCTCTGGAGTAAAAACATTTTCAGAGACCCCCTTTACGAATGTATGTGTCAGTTTGAGATAATAAAACTTCATACCATCTGCAAATTAAAAATTATTTTAATTTAAGTTATTTCATATGTGTGAATAATTATTCTGATAACGCACTTAATGGAAACTATCAAGGTTTTTATTACTTCTTGTATGTACCTACAGCCCGTGATACACAAATCAGATGGGAAGTGAAATCGAGTGTTAACAAAAAGCAAAGTCGTTATGTTATCCCTCCGCACAACACATTCACGTATTTTTTTTTTTATAGGATAGGGTGACAAACGAGCACACAGTCCACCTGATGGTAAGTGGTTGCTGTGGCCCATAGACATCTACATCTATCCTCGATTACGAATCAAAATGCAGATGCGTTGTCATCCGTGAGGACTAAGATGGAATGCCTCGTTTCCAGTAAAAAGGGTCTCCGGTTCTCTACACTCACCATACGAAATACAGCAGCATTAAGCTACTATTTCACGCTGGTATTCTGTGAGAGCGTGGTCCTTCCCCGGTCGAGCCGACCCATTCGTGCTACAACTATACTACTAATATAACTGCAGCATGGCAGGTATAGCGCCATCATCTTCATTCTATAGGTAATTTTATCGAACGAATTTGTTGACTTAACTCGCGAGATATCAGTGTTATGTAAAATATATAAAATAGACACTCTATGGCCTTACCGCATTAATATACAAAACCCAGTATATGAATGCCTAAACGCGACAAACTTGATATGGATAAACTCTAAGTGTGGTTTTACAGTAACGCTTTCGCTAGCGCGGGTGGTCAGCGCGGCCCGTAAACGCGCGGATGACTTGCGAAACTATAAAACGAGCTTAGAGTCGCGCGGTTTTGTATCGTGTTGGAACCGCGCGGCTGAATGCCGCCAGCGCGGGATATCCGCGCGTGTGGGTACACTATGTAACGATCCAAGAGACGCAACGCTCGTGGCCCGCGACGCTTATCAACCGCGCTGGCGAAAGCAAGCTGGCGATTGAAACTTCTTCGCGCATGGGAGTGGAGCGCAACATCTTTTTATGTTTGCATAGTTCACTATAATCTACTGATATAAGCTTCAGCAGCCATAGACACCTTCACTTCAAACAAAGGTCACAGGTTGCATTGTCACCTTAAAGACTAAGATGATTTACCTCACTGTCTGCCTCTGCCACTTATCTTTAGAACCGTACAGCAGTGAATGCATTTCAGCTAGGTGGTACAAATATCGTCGGTACTAACCCAGAGCGAGTCCTAGCCGGAATATCATCGAAATGACAACCTATAATAACCATATAATGAACCTCTCCTGCACAGGCCTCTCATTTCTGAGAGGGCAAAGAGGTGTCCACCGCGCTCTCCCAATACCTATTGACGGATTTCACATTTTTCAGACATGCCAGTTTTCTTATGGTGTTTACTTCAACACCGAACACGTGATAAATCAGCACTTTAAATTGCGTTTAACAATTTTCGTTGGTGCCGGCGGGGATCGAACCCAGGTTACTCGCGTACTGTAAGATTTAAAGCGAGCACAAGTCCCTAAGAACACGGCTTTTGATATAATGATGATGATAATATATTCCTTAAAAGTTTAAAAGTTAATTCGAATTATCTTAAACTTTGACTATGACATGCATCTCAGACCCTGTTACTATTATAGCTGTAATCCAAAATGTCTAAATTTTACTTATTTTGTAAATGTTAGATTTCGCATGTTTGCGTGGTTGTAGCTCTTCAATGAAGCTAAAAGGGAGGTCAGGTTTTCTACATCACTCTTATCTAGGCGAATTCGAGAATCTGCCGCTGAAATTCTCGGGGTTTAACTAATAATTATAACGATAAGTGCTTAATATCTTTTAGTTACATATTTAACTTATATCTTTATTTGGAATTACAGATTGCAAATAATGCTTCAGAGACGCAAGAAATACAAAAATCGCACAATACTCGGCTACAAGACTCTCGCTGAAGGTGTCATCAGAATGGACCAGGTGAGGCGTCAAATCATTATGGTTATGCGCGCAGGATAGTATGGGATTGATTGATTGTTGACAATTCACAAAATATTATTGCTGCTTTTTAAGTATACCATTTTATAATGATTTCTTATGTTTACGCGAACACTACACATTGATTAAAACAACTTTTACGGATTTTTGGAAATTAAAAAAACATCCTAATTTCAATAGAAAAAGAGGCTGGGTACTACCACCTGCTTCGGACCCTGTAATTAATAAAAAATTAAAAATAAACCCAAGCATACCACTGCAAGACTTCAAACACAGTAAATTCATTCTGCGTAGATCGGACCATAAACAATAATTAAATAGCTGAAGGTACCTACTCCGGGGTAACAATTTACATTGACATCTGAACGTCAGTCACCTTAGTCCCCGAAACGTCGGGTATGAAAAATAAAATAAATTAAACGCGATAAAATCCGTAACAGTACATAGTTTTTATCAATATATCATTTTTATTATTTTAACTAATAAACAATTTTTATAAAAAAAAAAAAAACATATTTATTAGAGATATGTTTCTTTTCTCACTCAAAGGCTACTAGTAGTAGTAGTTAGTAGTACTTAGTAAGTATTTAAGCCATTCAGTAAGAAAACCGCTGACAGCGTTCTTGACCATATACCGCGAGGAGTAAAACTATATGATTAAAATTTTTGGTTTTAGTTTAATATTATGGTTATAAATTCCGTGTATTTTTAGTTTGATATTTTGCACTTGCTACACAACGCACTTTAAAGTTAATACTAACTTTTGGTTTTTTCTTTCAAGAAATTCTCAAAAGCAACCCGAAGTCAGCAAGTTAGCGATAATTTACCATCTTGTCTCGTAAAGCTATAGTTTTGGTCCTGCGCGTGATCTTTTTCCGTTCGTATCGGATTGTCGTCCCTTCGGACTATAAGCGTGAGGGAGTATTGGACCTGTGCTTGCGCACAATTTGTGCACAATTTTTTTTTAGAATAAGGGTGCAAAAGAGCACACAGTCCACATGATGGTAAGTGGATGATGTCCTGCACAGATGGCTAATCTCCATCTTTTTCTCATGATTTTTAAATATCTTTAGTTATTCCTAAACGCCACATCGTCAAAGTTGTCTCTATTCTAATTAAAAAAAAATTAAACTTGACGTTCCCAATTACCGCGACATCAATACAATGCTATGAGTCATTTAGTCGTCTAGCGACACCAAAAGAAGAAGAATACTACTTTATTCAATTTTGTTGTTATTTCATTAGAATTTAAGATTTTATGGTAAATATTAAAAAGCATTGTTGTACTTTTAAAAATTGTCATATTGTTACGAGCTTGAGGTTCGTTACAATAAAAACTGCCGATTGAATTACCAAAATTTACACTTTTAATTTTCTTTACACTAATTAAAACTTAAAACACTAATAATTATTCACACTGATTTACTTTATTTCACTCCGAAGCTTCGCTTGTCTCGTCAAATTTAATACTGCCCCGATCGCGGCATGCAGCGGGTTTAAATACACTTTTACGCCGAAACATCCAGAATATTCCCGTAGATACGGGTGCCGACCGACCAGACGCAGAAAGTTCGAGTGTGAGGTTTCTAGAAAGCTTAGTTCTTCAATTCGATACTAGATGGCGCTGTCGGTTGATAGATTAGTCATGTCATTTACTGAAAAGCTCTCCTCGCTCTGTTACCCGACACTAGATGGCGCTAGTGCCAGACGTCAACTTAGGCGCGCAACAATATTATGCTAAGACTAAAATATTAAGGGTGTCCGGCCTTTTTACTAAAATGACCGGCTAAGCTCGCTGGTCTGTCCGTCTTTTCGGTTTTATGACCTGGCAATCCTAGTTGCACGGAAACTAATCAAGAAATCGTTATATCTGTTTTAATTTGTATCTAGGATTTTAGTCATATATCACTAAATGCCAAAAGTTCACTTTTGCAAATTATATTTTACTTATTGTTATATTATTATTGGTGCGTCAGTTAGTTGTCCTGAATTGCTGATCTGCTTGACTGATTGAGGTCATATTCACAAAAAAAAAATATCGAGACGATGGTACATAGCTGTTATAGAATCAGTGGATCTTACAGGTAGCTATAGTCAAGTTAATGATTCGAATTCTATATTAGCTTGAGCATACTTAAATTTTAAGACCGTCTCGTTGAATTAAATTAATAGGGTGATATGCCACGTAATGTCGCTGGTTTGTGCCTATTTATGCTCTATGTATTATATAAATGTACGTCTCATTGGGGCCAAGACCCAAGTAAGTCTTTAGACCCAAGGGCCACTCTGGCCGCACTCATCTTACTGCTGATATTACGAGATAGATGCATGGACCTAGAAAAAAGGGAGGACGTCTCACAATTACTGAAAGCTCGCTAATAACCACACCATATCTAACTACGCTTCACAGTACCGCATTCGTGCTTCTCGTCCTTTTTCTAGGTGAAATGCCATCCAAACTGCTAATGATTATTGAACGGCGCTTTAGCAAAAATGGTTAATATGTTAAATGAATGGTTAATTAAGCTAGTTGACAACGACATATTCGTATGATCATATGCATGGTGTTCTCATCCTGTCTGGATTTCCCTCTGCTCGCCTCTCCACCCCTCGCTTGCGTGTTGGATTTTTGCGCTCAAGTCATAGGGGCTTAATCTATCGTAAATATGGCGTATTTCAACGTTCTATGCGAAGGCTGCCTTCAATTCATAAATCTAACCATTTAATGATGATTTTGATATCATGATATCAAATGTCTGACTTTCGCTATTATTATTTTCTCGTACATTTTGTACTTACCTACATACAAACATACATAGCGTCACACCTGTAACACAAGGGGGAAGGCAAATATTGAAAGTAGTAATAGGTGGCTGGCCCATCGCCTGAGCAATCACAAACCCAATATCCCATTAGGTTAGAAAAGTAACACAGTTGACACATTCTTTTTTGTTATAAGTGCCATATAAATGTGGGACGTAGGAGTCCTAAACCAACATGGAACAAATTATAATAGCTCTCATTAGTATACACTCGTGAACGCAAATACGCTTGTATTCGTTTTCAGGTCGAGGGAAGGTTATTATAAGTTGAGACGCAGTTTCGACATACGCTACAATGACATTGTCAATAATAGTTTGTGTGGTGTGGTGTGTTGTTATATTTCGGTTTAAAGAAATTTATTTCTCATAAGAACATACAATGGTTCACTTAAAATGAGATACAAAGTAATTATATACTAAAGTAAAACTATCGCATCTACCTGTGCTGTTACCAGTGCTGGAGGTGTTATAGTTTTGAGCTTATTTACTATGAGATATAAGATTTAGATTATTTACTATGTCAGAAAAGATTACACTGTACGTACGTATTTCCTAAGTTTACTTTTAAACAATTTTATGTTATTGCAATTTTTTATGTCATCTGGTAGTTTATTGAACAGCTGTGCTCCCTCAAACAACAAAGTTTTTTTGCCATAATTAGTTCGTGTAGTTATTAATTGTAGTTTATTTTTACTTCTTAAGTTGTGTGTTGTTGTTTTTTTATGTAATTGTATGTATGTAATTGTATGTTTGATTGAATAGAATTAGTGGTAATGTTTTTTATTAGAATGCAAGTGCAATAAATGTATAGTTGTGTAAGGTTTAGCAAGTTAGTTTTTTCGTATAGTACTTTTGTTGGTGTTAGATAATGATAGTGGAATAACGTTTTGATAATTTTATTTTGTGTCCTTTGAAGTGGATTTAGATTTGTTTTAGCAGCTGATCCCCATATCTCAATTAGATATTCGATATGTGATTTAACTAAAGAGTTATATATGATTGTACGAACCTTTTCCGGGATACAGTTTGCGACTTTACGTAGTGCACATAGTAATGACGTCAGTTTTGATTTGACGTGATCGATATGCATTCTCCAAGTGAGTTTATCATCTACCAATAGACCTAGATATTTTTCCTGAGTTGAACGTTTTATTATTTTATCTTCAATAGTAAGATGTGCAAACTCTGGTAAAGGTTTATTCTTTGTAGAAAAAATCATGAAAGATGTTTTTGACATATTAATTGTTAGCAAGTTATATTTTAATCATTCTCCGAGTAAGTCAAGATTTTTTTTGAGCATAGGTTATAATGTTGTGAATAGATTTATCGAAATAGAAGAGACATGTGTCGTCGGCATATAATGTTAGGTGACCTGTTAGCCCTGATTTGTTTATATTATTTATATAGATTAAAAACAATAATGGACTTATAATTGAGCCTTGAGGACAGCCGTAGGATACGTTTTTAATCGAGCTGGTAAAATTATCCATTTGAACAACTTGTCGCCTATTATGTAAAAACGATGTAAACATTTCGAGGGCCTTGCCTGTAACGCCTATGTTGTTTAGTTTCTGCAACAATTTATGATGGCTTACTGTGTCAAATGCTTTTTTTATGTCAATAAAAATCCCTAAAGCGATATTCTTTTGATCGATTTGAGTTTTAATTTTTGTGATTAAGTCTACTGCAGCTGTCAGAGTGCTCGATTTGGAACGAAAGCCATATTGTTGGTCAATTAAAAACTTCTTTTTTATTAGGTATTCATTTAGGCGGTTATAAAGTATTCGTTCAAATATCTTTGATATAACAGGCAAGACAGAGATTGGTCTGTAGTTACTTGGGTCAGTCCTACTTCCGGATTTAAAAATAGGACTGACCTTAGCAATTTTAAGTGTGTCGCCTGTGTTAGCCTCTCTACAATTATAATTTTCAGACATTTAATCGCTTTGGTGCTGATGCCATCTAGACCAGTACTAATGTTGGTATCAAGATCGTCGATTATTTTTGATACTTCAGTGATATTACAGGGTGTAAGTTCACTAAGTGTTATTTCATGCGTGTAGTTAAGTTCGTACATAAGCGTGTTATCGCTGTTTATGTGATACTTATTAGGAATTTTGTTAGCCAAGTCCGAACCTATTGAGGAGAAAAATGAGTTAAATAAGTCACATATTGAATTACCTTCTGTTATTAGTTCAGTATTCGATATTAGTTTGGGAGGAGCACTGTTGTCTCTAATTTTGTTTAACGCTAAGTTATTAATTATCTCCCACATTTTCTTAGGTTTATTGTAATTGTTATGAAATAACTTATGATAGTAGATTTCCTTGTGTGTCTTGATAAGGTTTTTCACTTTGTTCTGCTCTTTAATTAAGTTTTTTTGTAGATTATCCTCTTTTGGGTGAGATTTAGTCTGCTGCCATAAGTTGTTTCGTAAATTTATTGAGTTTATAATATCTCGGCTTATCCAAGTTTTTACTTTATTTTTGTTTATTTGTTCTAACAAAAATTACTGTATTTTTGTTTATTTGTTCTAACATAAATCTCTCTAGGTAGTAATAGTCATTTTCTTCATTAGTGTATTTGGCTTTTAAAGTAGTGTTGTGTAACTTTTCGTAATCAAGCGCCATATATTGAACTCTTTTATGTGTCTTTGTTGTTAAGTTGCTTATTTCAAGAAATATCTGCTTATGATCAGATAGGCACGATTCAATTATTGAGAAACTAAATGAGTGATTGTTTATATTCGTACATACATGGTCCAATATAGTGCTTGTGGTGGTGGTTTCACGAGTACTGTACAGCCTATTAATTTTATTCAATATTGCATATCCAATTTCTTTTAATTCAGCTAGGTATTTTGTGACGTTACTATCTGTATTAAGTAGATCAATGTTAAAATCTCCAAACACAATCGCCCTTCTCCTCCGTTCCAACTGTGAGGAATATGTTTCTAAAAAGTTGTTTACATTAGAACTTCCAGGTTTGTATATTGCACCGATGTTTAAAGATAGTTTATCTATGTATATCCATAAGTAGTGGTTTCCATTTTCACACAATTCTTCCGTTATATCGTATTTTATGCTATTATGTACGTAAATTGAAACGCCACCACCTTTGTAATTTTGTCTATAATTGTAAATATGTTTGGTATCTGATATAATTTTGCGTCGGTTTCCGAAGTAATCCATGTCTCAGTAAAAATTAATAAATGTGTAGTCATCGATGTTGCTTTTAATATGCATTTTATTTCGTCGAGTTTCCCAGCTTTGCGAATACTACGTAAATTAGCATATAAAAATCTTAAGGAGGACGGGTGGTTTTCGTAATTGTTTACTAATTGATGGCATCTATCCGTATTTTTCCCGGTTTGTAGTGAAGCCATTATTGGTTTTTTTTGATGGGTTTTGTTTATAACAATTGAAGGTGTGCCTTTTATATATTTAATAATAAGGTCCTTTTCGCCTTTTTCTGTTCGTTTCTTTAATTCTTCCTTCAATTGCCTTAAATACTGTTTTTGAACTGGCGTTTGATCTGAGTAAATACTAAGATTTTCGGCTAGGTACTTTTTATTCCGTAAGAGATATTTCGGAGTATCTATATTGTTAAAGAAAACTTTTATAGGCTGGCTTTTGTTTGAAACATATTTCCCTAGTCTTATACATTTAATTGGTTTTGGGCAGTTTTCATGTAATGATATCAACAATTTCATCACTTCTTCATTATCGTAATTTCGTCTCACTTTTGAATTTTTTTCATTTATTTCGGGTATACCCACAATAATGATGTTTTTCTCACGGTCGTATCGGTCTTTGAGTTCAAGGATGAGGTTTTCGTGGCACAAGACGGGCGATTTATCCGTTGAACTTTCAATGTGTTGTTTATCTTTTATCAGGGTTATTTCACTATCTATGTTTTTTATTTGGTTTTGAGTAGCAGTATGATTGTATTATATTTTCTATTTCAGAGTTTATTTGTTCAAATCGTTGTGTAAAGTTTTTTGTTGTTGATTTTATTGTTTTTATTTCATTTTTAATCTCCGATATTTCTTCACGTATGTATTTCAGATTCTCATTTTGTGTTTTTCCGAATTCTTCTAAGAACTTCATCATGTCTGTACGAAAGCTTGCAAAATCTTTTTTATAGTCTATTTCATCAATGCGTTTCTTTCTTTTTCTCAGAGACACATTGGAATGAAAATCCTTGTCACTATGAGTGGGTAAATTAGGCACCGACCCGCTGGCGCTTCCGCTCCCGCTTATCAATATTCCACTAGGCGGTGTTCTCTGTAGATTCATTGCGTGATGTGTCGCGTCGTCGTATGCAAAGTCTTCGTACGAGTGCGAATGCAATGGAAAAGGCAGCTGTTTTCGTTACTTACGGTACCTACTGAGCGGGGCTGCGTATGTGCCACTGTGTACTTTTGTTATTATGCACTTTTTAAGTAATCAGACTTTAGAAATATGGGCGTAAGGGTCACTTTTAACTGTCAAACTAATGTTAAAATTTTAATATTTTATGCTATTTCACAAACACGTCTGCTTTCCGTAAGCACTAGAGGCAAATAATAAAAAATATTTATAATCTTTAATCTGTGTGCAAGTATATGAATACAATATCTCTGCGCTTTAAGCTCATTCTGCGTAGATCCGACCAAAATTAATAATTAAAAAGCTGAAGGTACTCCAGATTAACCTTGACATCGGGACGTCAATCATCTCAGACCCTCCGTGTGGGATGGATGGATGTACCCGTAATCTCCGTAATCACAAATAAATAAAATAAAACGCAATAAAACCCCAAAAATAGTTTTATTCAATCATTTAATTTGCAATTAATTGTGGTTCAGGTGCTACAAAGGTCCATGGACATGGAACTGGAGCTTGTGAGTGTTGGTGGCAAAGTCGGCGCCGCTGCTGGCCAGCCCATCGCCAGGCTTACCATCACCGGACTCGCGTCCACGCCCGTGGACCACGACACCAAGAACAACAACACGCTACTCATCACCGGTGAGTCATTTACGATCACAATTTTATTTAATAATCATTATATTGCCGTCCTTCACGAGTCCACTGCTTGTAATGTAGCGTTATTTAATTTATATATTCCAAATATTAATTATATGTGTATAGAAGGCCATAAAAGCTTTAACGTTATTTAATATACTTACTTTTATCTAAATATAAGTATGTACTTTCAACTTTTTAAAAATATTCCCGTAACTAAAGATGCACATCTCGAACACGTGTTTTTGACGCGTGAATTTTATAGTCAACAGGCGGGTACAAAATTGTATACACTTTTAATGCCCGTTGGCTTATTTGAACACGTACGGCAAAGTAATAAGAAGTACTTAGTACAAGGTACCTGTGTCACATTTTTCTCCGTATTCGTTTTATTCAAACTACTAAAGATCAATATATACCACAAAAATAGAAATATAAATAATCCAGTGCTACAAATTTGTTTTTTTTTGTTTCAAATTTCTCTTGTCGAAATCGTCATTTCACAATGGGAAGCATGTCAAAACTTTTGGTAGGTATAGTTTTCAGTGTAAATTTTTATTTAATTTTCCGAAGGGTGACAACAATGGCAAATATGACAATCAATAGCAGTGGGCTTCTGTTAAGCGATAAATAACATCACTGGATCGCACTTATTTTACATCGCATAGCAGTAGAGGACGTAAGTGGCTGTATTCGTTTTATTTTCTTTATAAAAAAACGTTACCCCTACACTAGAACCTTCTCCTGTATCGTGGAGGCAGTTTACAAACATAAATTGCACAAGGACAAACATCCAGACCCGGAACAATTACTTGTAGGCCATACAAATACTTGTTCCGTGCGGGATTCGAACCCGCGGCCCCCAGCGCAACCACTCATTGCTAAGCCACTGCGCCACGCAGCCGTAACAGGATATGGATATCCTTTTAATATGATGGTATATTTTTTATAGAAGTATGATGACAGACAATGAAAACACACAGACCACCTGGTGGTAAGTGGACGTTATCTACTATGTATTATAATATAATATTAAAGCAACATTAAGTTTTTAATCACAGCATGTAAAATTGTTACACAATGTTAAATTTATGTCTTGTTGGCTGGATCCTGTAAAAAAAGATTATTTGTTAAGTTTTCCGCTATCCTTCCATCCATCCTATACGGCTTATAAAAGTCCACTGCCTAACAGACCTCCCCCCCCCCTCATAGATTTTAGGGGAGATTTTGCCATAGTTGCCACACTTGAAAGGCAGGTTGGCAACCGCAGTTTTTTTTATTTTGAGTAGCTATCAGATAGAAGTTTTTTTTTAAGCTATTGCATAGCTTCTATCGCGGGCCTTGAGCGCGGGGACCGAATCCAGAAATTCCGTAACGAAAAAAAAACCTAACGCTCCCCACTCCGACGGGCACGGAGGTGTGGCGTTGAAAGCCGTGCATCGTCTAACGTCGTTTTAGTTCGGCAGACTTCGGCACTCGGCAGACTTCGGCACGGTGTTTGTGTGCGTGTACACTAGCTGCTAACTTCAATGATAAAAATTCCTGAATAACCTACATGTATTGTAAGATATTAAAAATATGTTAAACAATATTAACTTCTCATTTATTCAATAAGAGAAAAAAAATTGTTTTCTTATCGGTCACCACGCTCAAAAAGTGTAACTTGATTTAATATCAAAGACTTTAACTGCATAAATAAAATAAATAAATAATTATAATTGCATAAGTTGGTAAAAAATGCTATGCAATAGCTTTACCGCGGCAGTCACCGAGTGCCACACGTATTTTTTAAAATATAGAATAAGGGTGACGAACAAAGCAACCACTTGATGTTAAGTGGATGCTGTGGCCCATATCTATCCTCAAATTAAAATCAAAATGTAGATGGATTGTCACCCCTGAGGACTAAGATGGAATGCCTCGTTTCCAGTAAAAAGGGTCTCCGGTTCCTCTACATTACCATACGAAACACAGCAGCTTAAAGCTGCCATTTTACGCTGGTATTCTGTGAGAGCGTGGTTCTTCCCCGGTTGAGTCGACCCATTCGTGCTGCAGTATAGCTACAGCATGGCTATGCCATTTGTAAATAATATAATTACTATCACGTATAATTGACATAATGCTGCTGCCCATCTCGCCTCTTACACCCACGGACGATATTACATAGTTGACAGTTAACATTCAACCTTATTATCGTCTAAAAATTAGGGATGGACCGAATATGGATTTCACCGAATACAAGTATTCGGCCGAATGTTCGGTAAAACTTTTACCGAATCGAATATTCTGCCGAACATTATTCGGCAGGATAACCTCGGTACCCAACCAATTTTCGTCGAAACTTGTTACCGTAAAGCGCGCAGGATTAGCGCCCGACCCTGCCCCTCGCTCCCGCGCCGCACCTGACAGTTAATTGCATCATCTAGTACTGAGCAAATTACGGCACATGATTATGTTTTGACTATTCTTGTGATAAAAAAAAGTATTTCGTTTGTTTTATTCTTAGTGAAAATTGATAGTTATACGATAAAAATGAGCGGCAGGAGATTTACTATTTGGACTTATTTTAGAGAAACTGAAGACCTAAGTAAAGTGAAATGTACTAATGTAATGTAATGTTTCTCGTTTAATGTTGTTTGATTTCAAAAACATTTTATCAAATTTCTATTTGTTAAAATAAAATTTAATAAAATGTTTTTGGAAACTATATACAACACGTAACATAATTAAAGCATTTTGAGAAAGTAGTTTGTTCAGAATCGTTTACTGAATTGATTCCTATCATTTTTAATATAGGTAATTTTTTAACCAAAAAAATAATTAAAACTACGTAAATTACAGTCACACTAAATCTGTACAGTCAAAACAAACTGAAATGACCGTAACTTAAGGCAATAAGACTTAAGAGTGCAGTTTTATTTGTATTATTACTAACTCTGTCATTCGATAAAAATAAAGAAAAATGAACTTTATTTCAAGCACGTTAAAGTCTTTGCGTTCGTGGATTTGTACTGTGACCACAACATTCTTCCGGAATTAGTATAAATAATTTGATAAATAATCAGTGCATAAAAATGTTTACCTGAAAATTCAGTGTATGCATTATGATTATAACATAATATACTAATTGGGGTGTCCGAGTGTGTGCGTTAATTACGTTACATATTGTATAATCGGAAATAAATTTACAGTGTCTCAAAAACATAAATGTATAAATTTATGCATTTGAGGCATTCTAGATTAAAGTAAGAGTAGATTTAACCCATAAATAAAATATACTTTCAACAGTAAAAGTTATCGCATTACTCAATTCGTACATTTCAATACATTGGACACTAAAAATGTTCGGTCCGAATGTTCGGTGATTTAGCCGAATAATCGGCCGAATACGAATATTCGGTAAAGCTGCCGAATATGTCGAATACCGAACATAAAACGAATATTCGGCCCATCTCTACTAAAAACTAATAAAAGATATAATTTACGAACGTTACCAGAGAGGGGTTATTCTGACGAGGAGGAAGAGGGAGAGTTCAGCTCGGTTGAAGAAGCTGACGAGATGACGTACGGTGCCCCGGCAAGGCGACGCCCCCATCGCCAGATAGAGTTCAACAAGGCGGACATGTCCTACACGAAGGTCAGTAAACGAATTCCTTTCTTACATAATATTATGCAGTCTTATACTTCCTTATAGAATATATTGTCTGTTTTATTGTGATTATGGCTTTGGCTTGTAGTGGCGGCTTGACAGAATCTACTACCAAATATCGTCCTCTGGGTGTCATAAAATATGACAGAGGGAAACTGAAGCAAGAGAGGAGCAGCAGCATCTTCCTAATAAGAACGCAATAAGGTCCGATCCTCATTTGCCGTTCACAGTTCGTTCTCGGTCCGATCTCGGTAACTGTGTAAAAACTTGTATTAATCCACTTGAAGCAAATCGGAAAAATAAAAAAACTTGAACGATGGGTACCTCATGAATTGAGTGAATCGAACTTGCAAACACGCGTCGACTGCTGTGCTGTGTTACTTTGCTCAACCGACACAAAAATGAAGGGATTTTAAATCGAATCATTACTTGTGATGAAAAGTGGATACTGTACGATTATCGGAAGTACTCGTCGTAATGGTTGAACCCCAGCCAAATCCTGCCCTAAACGAAAATTGACTCAGAAAAAGTTCCTTGTGAGTGTTTGGTGGACTAGCGCTTTCACACACACAGCTTTCTAAAATCTGGCCAAACGTGCCATGAAGGAAGAATTAGCTGCTAAACAACCGAGATTGGTCAATCGCTCTAGGCCACTGCTGCTTCACGACAACGCAAGACCACACACTGCACAGCAAACAACCATTAAGTCAGATTAGCTACAATTGGAATAGAAATTTAATAAAACTCGGACCTTGCTCCAACAGATTACAATTTTTTCCGGAATTTGGACAACTTCTTACAAGAAAAAAATTCAACTCCGATGCGGCAGTCCAAACCGCCTTCAAAGAGTTTATTGATTCTCGCACCCATGGTTTTTTTTTAGTAAAGGGATCATTGAACTACCTATAAGATAGCAAAAGTGCATAGATAACAACCAGCCAAGAATGACCAGCTTTTTAGTGGAATTACAATCACGCGTATAATGTATAACAACTTTTTGAAATCCTTTCGATACAACTGAATCAAAAGACACCTAGGTTTGTATAGTTTATACACATTTAGTTTTTTATTCGGTCAATTGCATATCAACTCATGATCGTTTAAGCCTGGAAGTGACAGTCAATTAGGCAGTACTGTGCCTTTTTGTAGCATGCGTGCTCCGCTCACTTTACGCTTCCTCATTTTTTTTTTATTCTGTGTTTTACCAGACGACCTAATTACCTAATGTATTTTTGTAATTATTTTAACAACAATACGTGCATTAGCCTATGAATAATCCAATAGAATTATATGTTGCCCTCACAAATTATAATAATTTCGTTAACCCGAGTGGCGAAACATTGGCCAAGCCATTTTAACCTGAAGCGATTTGGCTAAGCTTTCTTTAAGCGTTAAAATAATATCGGCATTTAACTAAATGGTTAGTTGATCAATAAACTGACCGATTAAACCATTAAAAATATATTGACAAGATTTTCCAGTGATCACTATATATAAAAATCAATCATGTCCGTTAGTCTCGCTAAAACTCGAGAACGTTTGGAACGATTCTGATGAAATGTTTGTGTGCGTTTGAGTGGGTCCCTCTGTCGTCTTTTACGTTACTTACGGGATGGTATGGGGTCTTAGAGCCTCTAAGTAATAATATTAGAATTATTAGAGCTTCTAAGTAATATGTTATTTGGTAGGAGGTAGTGGATTCTTTTACGCTGCCGCTACAAGGCATTATTAAGAGCCTGCTTAACTTCATGAAACATTTTTATCCAATCGGATAAAGTTTTGTTGAATGTAGTCAACGGTTTTATTTTTCATTAAGAAAGTGGTAAAGAATAAATATATAGATTTTGGACACTTACATTCGCAATTGGACCGGATAGGTGGCGCTGTTGTTGAGAGAAATCACCCGTGCGAAGCCGGTGTGGATAGATAGTAACGGATAAAGATGATATATATATATATATATATATATATATTGCAATTTCCAATATTTAATATTTAAAAATTAATATCCCCAGTAGTATAATGTTATTATTAGGCACGCAAAACGATATGAGTGTACTCCACACTGCATGACTTTAAAGTTGACAAAAGTTTTGATTAAGCTTCAGCTTCGCTATGCTACAACTGTTTTTAGTTTTGAAAGTATATAATTATATCACAGTATGTCAACATATACATAATTCTAAAGATATTTATCTATATATAATTGGCGTTATAACAGCATGTAATGATAGTATTTTAATAAGAGATTGATAAATTAAATAACAGTATCTGTTTATTTATACGTGTTAGAACCATGCTGCTGTGCTTCTTATGGTAAGTGTAGATAACCGAAGACCCTTTTTACTGGAAAACGAGGAATTCCATCTTATACCTCGAGGGTGACAACGCATCTAGGTTTTGGTTCTTAATCGAGGATAGAGTCTATGGGCCACAGCATCCACTCACCATCACGTGAACTGTGTGCTCGTTTGTCATCTTATTCTATGAAACAAAGTCAGTAGATTTTTCTGTCATTCTCTTATATGAGTTTTGACTATTTCAAGAGCACATGAATGGGCGTGTCCAATCACTCCCAACTAATTAGCCCGATTGCAATGCGTGGTAATCTATAAGGAAGGGCTTATGTTCTGCTGTGGACTTGGTATGGATTGTGGTAATAATAATAATATGATGATGATGATTTATAAAAAATCTACTACTACTTTATACTAGTAGTTGCGGTAGCCCAGAATATAAACGCTCTGTTGAAAACTTTCGTAGTACTCGAGTAAAAGAAGTTTGATTTCTGTAGTAGTCTTCGTTTCCTCTCACAGTAAAAACAGGTGGTTACATGTAATTAGGCTTTTATTTTCTACGATTTTATGACGTTTTAATTATCAGCACTATTCCATATCCATATATTTTCAGATACGTCTCAAGTAATTAATAAAATTATCGGCTCTGTGCCCGCAAAACCCGACAAACATTGCTTTGGTTAAAATCGGTTAAGTTTGTTTAATATAATCTAAGTCCCATATGCTTATGAAATCAATTGTTTATAATGACGTAATTGCAACTGGTTATTCCTAATGAAAAGTTGGATTTTATTCTTTCGGGTTTTGCAGCCGCAACGACAATATATGATATTGTATTTTATGAAGTATATACATTTAGATATTTTAATCACAATAACATAGTGTAACGCTTTTGCTTCCGCTTAATATAGCATTGCTTTGCACGCAGCTCTCGCGATCGCGCGACTTGAGCTACGTGGAGCGTGAGCGAAAGAGACAGAGCTATGTGCGCTCTAAGGTGCACGACAGGGACAGCGACAGCGAACTGGAAAGCGCGGCTGCTAAACGCAAGGGCAGCCGCGGAAAGCTCGCGGTGAGCTTTCAGCACGGGAAATTGAATCTAGTGGTGTTAGATATAGAGACTTTATGTTGAATCATTCATTTAATTAGCTACCAAATTGATGGGAAGTCTTTACCATACTTGTGTACTTGCTGTCCTGTCACTTGTTTTCCTGTACTTAGGCGAAATATTCGTGAGCACACGAAATTAAACCTACGAGGCGATGTATTAGAGATGTATCTCATTTCAAAGTAGTAGAATGTTGTTTTATTTAACATAGTTTACATTACTATCTTGGGAATTAATGGTTAAAGTAGTTTTTGTATTTATATTGCATGATATCAATCTATAACTTCCGCTTCTATTTGTATCTGTATGTAGATTTCTATTCATGTGTATATGTTTATATGTTGCTAACGAAGACGTCTCCACAGTGTATATATGTACTAATTGTAGCACTCATCTTGTGTTTGAGTATATTTTTGTTTTTATATTATTAGATTAAAAATCAAGGTCTCTACGTTGTGGTAAGTAGCTACTGCAGCCTATGGACAAGCACACAACCAACTTCAAACTTTGCTAACTTTTAAGACTAAGATGAAATGCCTCACAGCTAGCATTGCCAGGCTCGTCTGTCCGGATTTTCGGTTTTAACACCTTGCAACCCTACTCATAGCCTATAATTAAACTAGCTTTCTTACGCTTCAAATCCAACACAAACCGTGGATGGTGCTTCTTTGCAGAAGTAGTAGAGGGTTGTACCAATCCAGACTTACAGTTACTAGGAGATAGGATTCCTATAAAAAGAGCCTTAACAGCAAGTAAACATACTAAATATTCACGGAAGAAAAAACTCGTATAGTAACCGTTCTCCGATTGCCACTTGATTTTGATATTTTTGGAGATTGTTTTTTTTAGTGATGTTATTAAAGGCACTGGAAGATGAAGGACGAATTCCTGCCAGTAACAATAACACTATTACAAATCCTGGGCATTTCAAAACTACCGAAAGTAATAGACACTTTTTGGTTATATTTATAGTCTGTGCATATTTCATATCAATATCCTGCCAATAATTTGGTTGATAAATGCATCGGTAAAATCGAGGATGCTATTGCAAGAAACAGTTAACTGTTCGCTAAGCAAGATGGCGGAAAAACATAAAAACAATTCAAATAAAATTGGACAGTGTTGTGCAGAAACGTTTCAACCCACAATTGTTTGTAAAATTTTTTTACTAACAGCATGTAAGAATAATTGTACCTAATACAAACATATATTGACCTAAATCTTAAAATGAATGCTTAATAATAATAATAACAAAACATTAAGTTATTCAGATTTGAAAGTTAAATGCTGTTTTCTTATGGTTATGTATTTCACTTTAAAGAAAATTAAATGTAGATTTTTGGATTACTTACTACTTTGCAGAATTCTGTCATTCTTGAAACAAACTTAAATAAAACATCTCTGGATCACTATTTTGTTCAGTTTGTGAGTTGGATCATTTTAGCACAACGCGGTCCAATTAAAAGAGAGAAGTGAAGGTCATGGACTGCCAAGCATGCAAATGAAGTCACTGTTTGCAATTTGATAGCGAGTCGGCAGCTTATCTGTATACATTGTTTTCAATGAGATTAGATTATATCTGCGTTCTCACGGTTTGTGATTGACTTGCGTCTCGGGACGATGGAGGTGAATATTCTTTTGTTTTGTTACTTTTTTATATCTCCGCTACAGTTAGAAAATATTGCATCAAGACATTAATTTCTTTGCAGCCTTTAATTTAGTGTTTTCAGGGAAGTTAAAATACAATTTAAAATGTAATTTCACATTATTGATTTACATTATTCACTATATAGCTTAATTTACATTTCACTAATTACTTCATCCTCTTCCTTACCTATGTGCATATTTAAAGCCTCATTTCATTTTATTTTGTGAATATCAGTTAATACTTTTCTCAAGAAATTAGAGAGTTATGTACTCGTATAACACTTAGATTTTGTTTGAAAGATGTACGGATAAGGATATTTCTGAAGTATGCTCTGATTATTTCGAGTAACCTCTAAATGAGTTTTAATTCCACCGTATAAACTCTGAGATAATGGTTAAAAGCCGAGACAGAAAAATTTATTATCGATGGTAGTTTGATTCTTCCTGCTGGTATTGGCATGATGTTAGGTTTATTGTTTGTAGTGTTAGTGGGGTCAACTCCACCATTTTCATGCATTGCGCTCTCGGACAAAAATCTTAAAACAATTTGACTCTACTTTATTCCCAATCACAAGTATTTAAAAGAATTTTCGATATATCAACTCAACTTCCTTTACTGCTCTGTTATATCAGGATCATTATCATCATTCATTATTTTTAAGGTTACTACTGGATATAGGTTTTTTAAGACTGCGACATCTTAGTCCTCAGAGGTGACAACACTATTATTGCCTTCTCTTTTATTTAATTTTTATATATTTAAAAAAAATTACCACCACTATATCCACATGTATCGTAGAAGCAGATTACATATATATATTTTACAAGGACAAACATCTAGACACACTTCAACAATTATTTGTAGGTCATGCAAATATTCGTTCCGTTCAGGATTCGAACCTGAAGCCCTCAGTGACGCAACTCAATGCTTAGTCATTCCGCCACGGAGCCGTCAAAAGTGTTTGAAGTTGTTTGCACTTGTCTATGGAATGCGATAACCAGTTACCAATCTGAGCATTTGTTTTGTTGAGTGTTTGATTGTGTGTATTGTGTGCAGCAACGCAACCTGAAGCAGAAGTTCGCGGCGCTGCTGCGGCGCTTCCGCGTGCCCGAGGAGCTGGCTGAGCGCGGCGCCGCGCGCGATACGCACCACGCGCAGCGCGACATCGACGAGCTCTTCCAGGTGCCCGCTTCGCCATCACCATCGTCATCATTGACACGTTCACAACATACATCAAACGCACTACACGTTGTCACGATTCAATCAGATTCATTCAAAAAATTCAAAATTATTTAATAGATAGGCACAAGCAAACGTGCGTGTGCATGCGTGCGTGCGTGCGTGCATGGGTGCGAGCGTGCGTACGTACGTGCGTGCGTACGTGCGTGCGTGCGCGCGGGTGCTTGTTTGTATGTGATTGTGTGTGATAGAAAGTTTAGTGAATATGTATGTATAGTATGAGGTGTTCATGAGGAATGTTGTTAGCCCCACGACTGTATTTTGGGATCGAAAGCCATCAAGATCATTACAGTCTATCATGAGATTGCTGTGTCCTGTATGCTGATTATGAGATCCTGGGTTCAAATCCCGAGTCGAACCAAAAACAAAATAAGTTATTGTCTATTATGTTATTGTGCATAAACCCAGACACTATATATCTGCCCAGCATCGCTAGTCTCTGTTGAGATTGGCCGGCGTGACAAAAATCGGTTCGGAAGACACTATAACAGTCCATCAATGTCCATTGCTAGACAAAAGCATCCTCCATGGATTGTCTCATATTTGGCAAATACCGCCCACATTTGCCATAGTTACCACGATTGGCAGGGCAGGGAAAAATAGCTTATGTGAATGCTAAAAAAGGAAGTCAAATGGAAAAACATAAAGAAGCATGGCCACATTCTATACATTTAAAAACCTGATAGTGAAAGTTAATGTATAGTTATAAGGTATAGTAGAAAAACTGCATGTAAGCTTAAAAATAATATCATATAGTAATTTTTACGGTTCAAACGCTGCAAATCCCAAAAACATTAATGTCACTTTTTAGGTTAGGATTTGCCGATACCAAATAGGTAATAAAGAAATTAATGTGCTCGAACTTACACTTGCTTATAAAAAGACTAATAAAGAAATACTTACTGATTAAATGAAACATAAAATAATGAATAAAACTCAGAAACAGAGTTGAATAAAGTAAAGTAGCAGTGTGTAAAATGGAACGTCCTAGAAAAAGGGTAGTTGAGATGCATTCAAAATATAGTAACACGTTTACCCTTGACGTAGAATAAGCTTAAATAAATATTAAAAAATATTTTTCCTGCGTTTCTTTTAACACTGTGATAAGCGTAAATAATTTACAATTCAATTAGCTGACTTTTAAGATTTATTTCATTTCTATACATAGTCAGGTGAAAAATGGGCATCTTTCTTTATCCCAATTACTACTTATTTACAACTACCTATAGACTTTCCTCCAAGAATGATTGATATATTACAATCCATCGGACTCGACTCTAAGGACGTAAGGTTCATTAAACACCTATATTGGAACCAATCGGCGAATTTAATGTACGTATAGAGAGCAAACAAACAGATGACTCGGAAATCTTACGTGGAGTACGGCAGGGATGTATTCTCTCGCCAATTCTTTTCAACATTTACTCAGAGATGATTTTCCGTGAAGCTTTGGATCGGGTGGATGTAGGTATCACAGTGAATAGTCAGATTATCGACAATATCCGTTATGCCGATGACACTGCACTTATTGCATCTACAATGGAAGAACTTCAGATCCTTATAGATAAAATTCAATCTGTTAGTTCAGCGTATAGCCTCAGTATCAACACCAGGAAAACCAAATATATGACAGTTTGTAAAACACCACCTGCTAACCCTTCTCTACTATGTAATGGACAGCCTCTACAAAAAGTTAGCAAATACAAATATTTGGGATGCTGGGTTGATGATACGGGAGACCACAGTCTTGAAATAAGGTGCCGCATAGAACAAGCCCGTAATGCTTTCTTTAAGCTTAAGTCACTTCTGTGCAATAAAAAGCTGAACATCCAGATACGAGTACGATTAGCATGATGTTATGTTTTCTCCATTCTTTTTTATGGCGTTGAAGCTTGGACCCTCACGAAATCGAGCTGTAAGAAGATTGAAGCCTTCGAAATGTGGGTTAGTTCAGGAGAATGTTAAAGATATCCTGCAGAGACAAAATAAAGAACGTAACAGTACTAAGTCGCATAAAGAAAAAACCAGAAGTTGTATATTTAGTAAAGAAAAGAAAGCTTGAATATTTCGGCCACATAATGAGAAACCGAAAATACGATCTACTGCAACTTATCATACAGGGCAAGATCCAAGGAAAACGAAGTGTGGGTCGAAGAAGAACATCTTGGCTGAAAAACCTACGCCAATGGTTTAGAAACAGCACCCGTTCCTTATTCAGAGCCGCGGCATCAAAGATACAAGTTGCCTTAATGATCGCCGACCTTCGAAAGAAGATGGCACTTTAAGAAGAAGAAGAAGATAGACTTTCGTCGCTCCACGAATAATTCGACCTCTTTATTATACTATATGTTATTCTAAGCTACTCTAAGCACTACACGTTCTCATAAGTTCACGATACTTCCTTTTAACGCCATTAGGTACTTGACGCTCATATTAATTGTAAATATTTTGATCTGCAAGAACGAAAAAGATACATTTTCTTTTCCTAATTGATATTCAAAAATTATACTATCAGGAACTGGAGTCCCTATCATGCGGCGAGGGCGAGGACTCTGGCCCCGACCAAATGGACACGATCAGCATCGGCTCCACACCAAAACCGTCGCTAAGACCTTTCTTCAGCAGCTCCCGGAGTCTTGCGAATCAAGACCACCATAGACACTCTAACGGTAAATCTACAATTTCAAACAAACATAGAACTCTGTTACTCTTGGCTTAAATTTAAGAGTAATCCAAAATTACGTTTTTTCTTTCTTTTATTTTTTTATAAAAACGTTATCCCTACACTAAGATTTTCTCTTGTATCGTGGAGGCAGTTTACAAACATAAATTGCACAAGCACAAACATCCACACCCGAAACAACTATTTGTAGGCCATACAAATACCGTCCTGTTCCGTGCGGGATTCGAACCCGCGACCCCCAGCGCAGCCACTCATTGCTTAAGCCACTGCGCCACGGAGTCGTCGTTCTTAAACATGTTAAAAAAGTGAAAAGTTATTTTAATACATTGATGAATCGTGATAATAATAGAATTCTTCAAACTAACCTGACCATTATAACCAAGAATGAATTATATTAATGATAACGAAATTTCTTTCAGTTATTGCATTTATCATACAATCTCATCTATTTAAAAATATATAACCTTAGTGAGCTAAGTCACGTGACACAATACAACACTAAATCAAAAATCTGACGTACGTAATTGTATACATTCGTCATTTAGCAGTATAGTAACTTACATTTATGTTTTACACATAACCGTGAATTGCCTGAGCATCAAACTGCATACACTGTGATGAAAATTTGTACGAATGCTTTTCTTATAATTTGCGTAGTCATTCAAGACATTGTTAAGCATTGTAACACTTCAAATCGAAGATATATGTATGTAACAGTATGACATATAACTATTATAATGTAATTAATATTTTCTGTTCTGTAATGTAACGCTGAGTGTATAGAGTAGATTGAATCCGAGCGAGACGTGAGTGGGGTTTATGAAAATCAGTCCTTCGAGCCTGATATCTTTGTTTTATTCTATTAGAATGTTTATTTTTAACTGTCGACATTCAATTTGAATAGATTGTAATTTAATTTCAAAATAGTTCTGTTCTTACTTTTTTGTTCTGTTCTGTTCTTACGGAATTGGCTATGGGCACTGACAAAAACATGGTTGCACGTATTATATAGTAACTGTACAAGTACAGTAGTACAGTAGTAAAAGTGAACTGTAAATTTCATCTTTATACGTATAGTAACTGTACGAGTATATTACTCGTATCCTTAAGAAAGAACCTTAACTAACACTTAGAATCCGACTCGAGAACCTTTACTGAATCACCGACGTCACAGTAGCCAACGATAGCTGTTTCACTCTTTCGTTTCTTTCTTTCCATCCCCTTGTGAATACCCCTCTCCCGTCTCGCTCGCACATAACGTGTGCGGCGCATGCGCAGTGACGCGGCACGCCAGTCTCGCGTCGGCTGCCGAGCTGACAGCACCACGCGAGAAACTGCTGACCACTCTCCCGCTTACAGGTACCGCATAGGGCTCCGCCCCGCATGGAACTTTGTGTAGCATATGAGGGAACGTGGCTTAATTTTTTTACCGCTTTCACATCGGAATCTTTTTAGCATGAATATGACGACAAAACAAAGCTAAGTATTTTAGGAACTGTTCATAAAACCGGCTAGTTTTTAGTAGTAGGAGGCTGTCGACAGCTAAATATGGGAAAGTTTTTGAGAGGAAAACAAATCTTTTTAGATTTGAAAAACGTCTTTTTGAGCAGTCATCCAAAGCTCAACGGCCACTGGGAAATAGCTTTATAAAAAACCGTACAATGTGATGGAGGATACGACGCTGAAGATCGCGGATTCGATAACAACTTGAAACAAGTATTTATTTTATTTATTCATTCTATCTTTTATTACAACCTATCAAAACTCTAGTTTTTTTTTATATTTTCCATTGTTATCAGAAAGATGCTCTCCCCAGATTACTGTCGCCTCTTACGACACCCGCGGTTTTAATAACGGATAGTAGATTCTCTAACGGCCAAAGTATTTGTTTAGCCTATAAATAATCGTTCAGGATCTGAGTGTTAGTCCATAACAATTAGTCTGTAAAACGGTTTTATGTCACAGGAGAAATTACTAAAGAGAAAACATTATAGGTACACGATTTAATAAGCCACGTTTCCTCGTTTGCAACAAATTTATAATAGATTATATTACAAAGTTATGTGTATGTACTTCATACTTTGAGTAATTGGTTGCTCGTGATTATATAAATATAAAATAATATTATATTAAAGGAATAAAATTTGTAATTTAGTTCAATATATCAACCACTGCTCTCTGTATATGATTAATTTTGCTTTTGTCTGTCTTTTTTTGTTTTGTTGCTGCACTATTGACAGCTTGTTTGCATGTTTTTCATCATCTTGAAAGTGACTACTAGACTACGTCTATGTCTAAGTTAAAATTGTTAAAACATGTTTAAGTTCTGTTCAATATAATTTGTATCAACATCTCCTATTACTTCTATTTCGTTCAATATATATTATGGAAAACGTTAATAATTGTTTTTATTAAACTTCCGATTTCTGAATATAATTAATTCATTCTCTTTTTTTTATCAATACATAACAACTCACTGCTGAAGAGATCCCCATTGTAGGTAAGATTTGCCTTAAACGCTATGCTGGCAGAATGGCGATTACGGTAACTAATGTCTCGTACCTTTGACGCTCGCTCTCTGTCACCTGACTGGAAATTTTACATCTGGCATATTATATACACAAGATGCCATAACTTCATCTAATGTAGGCCCTTAGGTCTTTCTGGACTTTCCCATAGCAACTTCTTACGACATTCATGGAACGAAATGTGGTGATGGAGTCACGCCATCACCTCTCCACAGTCAACAGATCTACAGGTTAGACAGAACATTTTGTTACCATTTATATTACCACGTCTGTGAATTTACGTTATAAACCTGTAACAACGCAATTAAAATTAATATTATATATTATTGAACTTGTGACCTATTCTTACTGTTGTTTTTTTCTGTACTACATCAAGTAAACATGTAGGAGGATTACGGCCCTATAGTTCTTGCAATTCACGAGTACGCGTCAACTTTATTTGTGGTTAGATGTGTACGTGCACGTTGTGATAGTGAGCGTGTTTGACGGAGCGGTTAGTAGCGAGCAAGCGTCCGTGTTATCAAGCTTACCCACACATTGAAATGTTTTATTACAAGTAAAGCTTGCGTGCGCTCGTGAATTAAAAGAACTATATTTTTTGTATAATTATGTCTGTATTTGTAAGAAGAAATCTATAGAATATCCGTCCGTTTAATGTATAGACACAATACCATTTAGTTAAGGGTCTCTAATAATCAAAGCTAATAAAGACCTTAAATACAAACAAATTGAGACAAAACTTCATAAACGCGGGCAGAATCCGAAGCGATGCGCAGTTCTGCTGGCGACGAACGCGGCAGTGAAGGGAACAGCGATGGTGATGCCACACTTGATGCCCAGGTGTCCGGAGCGTCAGTGTCCAGCTCGCCGCCCAACGAGACCAAGGTTCGATTTAGTTACATTCATTGATGATTTATTCAAAAATTCAAGTTGAAGGTAACTTATGATGTGTACTCGTATGATTGGGCCATTGCTGTGATAAATGTCTCAAACTTTTGAAACTTCCCATCGCATATCTGTATGTATACATCTGGCAATACGAGATGGTTGTGCCGCCCTCTATCGTAAGCCAAGACATTTTAGGGTTCTTTTTTTATAGGATAGGGTGACAAACGAGCACACAGTCCACTTGATGGTAAGTGGTTGCTGCGGCCCATAGACATCTACATCTGTCCTCGATTACGAATCGTGAGGACTAAGATAGAATACCTCGCTTCCAGTAAAAAGGGTCTCCGATTCTCTACACTCACCATACGAAACACAGCAGCATTAAGCTATTTCACGCTGGTATTCTGTGAGAGCGTGGTCCTTCCCCGATCGAGCCGACCCATTCGTGCTACAATTATTCTACTAATATAACTGCTGCATGGTTCTACCACGTATAAAACCATTACATTCTATCAAAGATCCCTGAGGAGGGCTTACCTCATATAATGTATCAACTATACAGGGATATTATAGCAATTTTTTATTATTATTTCTGTGCCCCTCTGTCGCCTATCACGGTACCCATGGAATGACATGCGGGCAGCGGATATTCTTACACTGCCACTACACGATACAGTTTTGTAGCAGGATGAGAAGCGGTCGCGGCTGTTCCGCAGCGCGACCAGCGGCGGCAACCTGACGCCGGCGGGCGCCACGCGCAAGAAGAACTCGCTGGCGCTCAGCGTGGAGCGCCCGCTGTCCGCACACGAGCTGCCCGCCATGAGCCCCACCGCACTCGAGGTGACACCTTAAAATCCCTTCCATTGTTCTTTTTATGTGATGTGGTGGCTCGATAGCACAATGGCTTAGCATTGAATTGCAGCGCGGTTAATCTGAAGGCACCTTTAAAAAAATAAGAACGAAAGATTTCTTATATTTACGCGAACACTACACATTGATTAAAACTACTTTTACGGATTTTATCGCGTTTAATTTTAATTTTAATTATTTTTAATTCCCGACGTTTCGTGTGCTTTCCAGCACCCATGGTCATATGCACATATGCAGTTTGTGATTATATCCTAAACGGCCCCAACCATTACATCAGATTTGATAGACCACAAATCCTCGCAAAAGAACACCGATTCCTACCAAGGATGATACGTGAGGCTATTGAAATTAAAAACATACTAATTTCAATAGAGAAAGAGGTTGGGTACTAACACCTACTTGGGACCCTGTAATTAATAAAATTAAAACTAAACCCAAGCATACCACTGCAAGACCTCAAGACATAGTCAGTTCATTTTGCATAGATCGGACCATAAAAAATAATTAAAAAAGCTGAAGGTACTCCGGGTTTAACAATGATATCGGGACGTCAGTCACCTCAGTCCCCTGTAACTATGGGTGCCGGAAAGCACCCGAAACATCGGGAATTAAAAATATTTAAAATTAAACGCGATAAAATCCGTAAAAGTAGTTTTAATCAAGAACGAAAGAGCAAAAATAAGCCAGAGTCGTGTGGTAGCGGTCATTTAGTCTCAATTGTGCCGCAAGAGGCGGTTTAAGGTAATACTTCCGATAAATAGTAGTGTAATCAACTCGCAAGAAATTACTGCAAAACTTGGTCGTTAATGCAAATCCCCCGCTCAATAGGAGAGGTCCACTTTTTAAAGGATACTGTGGACTTTGATACTAAGTTGTAGCCTTATAGATTGATTGCCGATAGCCGATACGCCGTCAATGCTGTCTTAACTCCAACTTTTTTTAAATGTCTTCGTATGAGATGAGGCTTTAGACCTAATAGTAATAGAAGGTTCCATAAAGCTTCAGTGTAGCAGAGAGAGTGCGAGTAATTTACAGGAATGAGTCTATATTTCTTCTTCAATAGCGTTAAAGAGTGTGATAACAACTAAATTAAAAAAAAACTTGGTGGATTTTCCTGATAAGAGCTAAATAAAAAAAATGATCTTGCCAACTTGCTTGCCAAGTGTGATGTCAATGGCAAATTTCCACCATTTGAGGCAAAATTTATTTAGGGAGAGGCCTGTGTTTAGCAGTGAACTTTGACAGGCCGCAGTGGCACTGAACACGCCGAAGCCAGACACACCTTTCTTGCTTCTTTCACGTCCATATCATGGTGGTAATCTGTGGTCCATATAATATCTAAGCATACACGTTCTTCGGTTAAGGGTACAACATTTGACTAGGCCGATCTTTAATACATCGACAATTCGATCGATAAACGTCATTCCACAGCATCCCTTGACCACTCTGCCGTAAGATTATGCAACAAAAAGCTTTATAACTTCTTTCTCATTGTTTGAATTTTGGGGCTAATTCGTCAACATACTTCCATTTAGGACAATACCTTCCGACTCTGCCGCTAAATTTTGCAGCATTACACTTTGTCAATTCTTCATTTGTTTGGATCCTCATAATTTAGAAATGAACCTTGTTAGAAATTATAAGAAAAAATTGAAGTCATGTAAAGTCAACACGCACGGGGTACTCTCCTAGCCGTAAAACCTTCTCAGAAATAAAAGCAGGCCTGTGTACAGGAACAGAAGTGTGACTTAGTAGGTGTAACTGTAACTTTAGCTTTAACCTTGTTTGCGTGTTCCAGCCGCGACGCACGCTAATGGAGCAGGTGAGCCGCGTGCTGGGCGAGGACGGCCCCGTGCCCGAGTGCGTGGCGATCGCGCCCTCCGGCGCCGCGCTGGCGCTGCAAGCGCTCGCCGTGCCCACTGTCATAGTGGCGCCGCCCGCCGTGCCCGACGCGAGGCCGCTGCTTCAAGCGATTTACGCACGCGCCGCTAAACAGTCAGTATAAAATTTAATTTTTTATTCGATTGCATAGTAACCCAAAGCGTTATATTTTGGGTACCGACAATCAACTTGGCGCCGCTGAAGGGTCTGCAGCATCGCCTTAATTCCGACGGAATCAAAGGCTTTTTCATAGTCCACATACGCAAGGCTGAGTGAAAGATTGTACTCTTCGGTCGTCTGTATGTATATGTGGTCTATGATATTAAAGCCATTTCGGAAACCGGCTTGTTCGGAAGGCTGGAAGTCGTCGAGTATGCGTGTGAAATGATTCGTAATGGTTTTCAAAAATAGCACGTAGACGCGGCTCAGAAGGTAAATCTTTATCAGGGATGTCTATGTTCAGAAGTGGATTTGTGAAGGGCTGTAATGATGATGATCTGGTGGAGCCGTACTGCAGCCATATTATAGTTGTAGCACGAATGGAGGGTCGGCTCGATCGAGGAAAAACCACGCTCTCACAGAATACCAGCGTAATAGCAACTGTATTTTGATTCGTAATGGAGGATAGAATTAGATATCTACGGGCAGCACCCACGTATCAACAGTTGTACCGTGTGCTCGTTTGTCATCCTTATTTTATGAAAATAGCCCTCAGTCTCAACTAGTGACATCTGGTGAGTATAACATTATTAACGTCGTTGAACGTTGTGCCGAGGATTACGTGTGTGATTGTGTGCGTACGTTCGGCAGGTCAATGCGCCGGGCGTGCGTGCGCGTGTGCGTGTGCGGCGGCGAGGCGGCGTGCGCGGCTGCGCTGCGTGCGCACGTGGATCTGGCCGCGCGACGTCCACACGACGCGCCCGCGCTGCGCTTCTACATCGTGCCGCTCGGTCAGTAGTACGCAATTGCATGCACACTCGCACGCGCACACTCGCATGAATGCACACATGCAAGCAAGCATGCACACAGGCACGCACGCACGCACGCACGCACACATGCACGCACATACGCACGCACACACGCACACACACTCCAAATAAATAAGGCTACAGACAGACCGTCATCTCTGCGGGGGGGCCAGTTATAACGGAGACTAGCCATCTGCGTAGGACATCATACTGCACGAGTTTGTGCGCAAGCACGGATCTACTTTCAGTACTCTAACGCTCATAGTCTCGTCACGTCTCGTCGTTACGCCGTCGACATACACGTCTCAGAACTACGAAGAAAGATAAACGGAGCGCTGCGTATTTGACACTCCTACTCTATGGTTTCTTCAAATCTAAAATAAAAAAATCATTATTATCGTTATAGCCCTTAACAGGTCCATTGTTGAACATCGGTTCCCCCTAAGGAATGCACAAATCACGGTTCTGAACTACTTCGATCTATCAATTCTTGAATGCCTTACCAGGTCGTCACTCCATCTAGTATGGAGGAGCGCGCACTATACTTCACTACCAGTACGAGGCTGTCACTCGAAAACCTTTCTTCCCGGTTGTCGGTTCTTCAAGCTATATCGGCGTCCCATTGCCACTTCAGCTTACTAATCCGTTGGACTATGTTGGTTATTCTATTCTGGTTCTACTGTGGATACCCTCTTTTCTGAGTTTAACACGCAGAGAATCCCATAGGTCTCAAGGTCACTCATCGAGCTCTCCATAGCTCGCTGAGTGACCTTGAGCTTTCTACGTATACGTCTTTTACATGGTAGAGCCATGCTGCAGTTACGAATGGATCGGCTTGACTGGGAAAGACCACGCTCTCACAGAATACCAGCGTAAAACAGCAGCTTAACATTGCTGTGTTTTCTATGGTGAATGTGCCTCGTTTCCAGTAAAAACGATGTTTTACTGGGTTTTTACTGGAAACGAGTCATTCCATCTGTGTCGTCACGGATGACAACGCATCTGCATTTTGATTTGTAATCGTGGATAGATGTAGATGTCTACGGGCCACAGTAACTTACCATCCATTGGACTCTGTTCTCATTTGTCACCCTTATCCTATAAAAGGAAAATTAATTAAAAATTATAATGACCCCTGGCGGTAATATTACAGGTGCGTGCACGGTGTCGCGGTACGTGGCCGCGTCGGACAGCACGTACGCGGCGCTGTTCGCGAACGACTTGTGGCCGCAGGTCTGCGAGCGCGCCGCAGAACACTCCATGCCCGACATCGCCGAGATGTCCTCCAGGATCGGCAGGTCAGTGCCCGTCACGCTGTTTTTTTATATAGACCTAGCGATCCACCCCGCCTTCGTTCGGGTGATTTCTGGATCTAGACAACAGCGCCACCTACCCGGTCCAGTTGTAGGTCCAAACCATCCATGGATCCACTGTAACACACAAAAACCATCAATATCGGTCTAGTCGCTTAGGATTTCAGTGAGAAGCACTTTGTAAAGGAATTGTATATATAAAGATAAGAGCGACAAACGAGCACTCAACCCAACTGATGGTTAGTGAATGCTGTGGCCCATAGACATCTACATTTATCCTCGATGCCACAGCAACCACTTACCATCAGGTGGAATTTGTGCTTGTTTGTCATTCTTATCCTATAAAAAAACGTACACGATATCGGCCTTTATCGGCTTGCAGTCATTCGTGAACACGCTTTTATTTGCAAAATCTCAGGTTTTAAAATGAAGATAAGTGTTTAATAGACGTAATTTATTATGACTAGGTCCGCAGTACCTAAATATAATTATACTCAGAGGAAAATCCTTCTTTAATATACATTTAATTCATAGGGTAAGTACGATAAAGAAATTTAAGTTTTTGAGCAGGTACGATTTGTAAACAAATGGATGGTAAAAATTCACACTTCATAATATTAATGTTATGAACGCATAGGAATTGAATTTAAAATAATCACAAATACGTGAAATCCTGCTTATTCTAACCTCACATTTACATTTCAGGACATTTTAGTAATTACGTGTAGTGACACGATTTTACACGATACGAACACATTTTTGTTTTTATTATAAATTATAGCAATAGGTCTAAAGGGTCTGAATATGTTTCACAAGTTCTAGCAGTTTTCTAAAAATAGACATCATATTCTTATTTTTATTTAAAAAAGCGGCTCGGCCGTAGCATACTTTTCTCGAAGCAATTTAGGTTTCAGGTCATTTTCGTCCCCCTATAACTTCGTTGTGGATAGAACTAGAAACTCGAATTTTCAGAAATCGGCAGGCATTGTATAGACACGGTATATTCCAAATTTCATTCAATTTGAAGCAGTAGTTTAGGAGTTACAATTAGTCAAAATTTCTTAATTTTGTCACTCACTGACTGACCGATCATCAAACCTCTAAGGTACTTCTAACAGACATAGAAGCCTCAAACTTAGAACACAATAAATGTTTAGTATATAAATCAAGGAAAAACTAAAATATTTTTCAATTTCGGTCCAGTTTTCTAGATATACTAACTGCATAAATAACTTTGTAATCCTATATAAATATATAGGATTACAAAGTTAGGTTTGCAGTGAATGAATCAGTGTACCTGTATATGTATAATATAATGGAATAAAAGGTGTAGATAGATAATTTGCTGGTAGTCAAGAAGGAGAAGGTACCGGAATAAAAAAAAGTAGGACTATCTGCAAAAAGAAATGAGATGCCATCAAAAACATAACTTGTAAAAATAACCAAGTCTCGCAACTCAGTTCTTCTATCGTAAAAAGTTGTGAGATCCATGTAATACCAAGTCGATTAATTTATTCAGTCCCTACTTAAAATCCCTTCTGTCTTAAGTTATTACCTAATTAGCTAACCTAACAACATCTTATTGTGACCCTATCAATATTAAAAATCTTTTATGTATTAAATAAATAGATTGACTTGGCAATATATATAAACTGGTATAATAGTGCACTGATGACATTCATTGATTACATTGACAGACATTGATCATTAAAGGTGCCGAATATGCCGAATACCGAATGTAAAACGAATATTCGGCCCATCTATAATAGTTAGTAGTAATACATAGTAGTAGTAGTAATTTATGCGTGGTAGAGCCATGCTGCAGTTATATTAGTAGTATAGTTGTAGCTGGAATCGGTCGGCTCGACCGGGGAAGGACCACGCTCTCACAGAATACCAGCGTGAAATAGTAGCTTAATGATGCTGTATTTCGTATGGTGAGTGTAGAGAACCGGAGACCCTTTTTACTGGAAACGAGGCATTCCATTTTAGTCCTCACGGGTGACAACGCATTTGCATTTTGATTTGTAATCGAGGAAAGATGTAGATGTCTATAAGCAACCACTTACCATCAGGTGGACTATGTGATCGTTTGTTACCCTATCTTATAAAAAAAAATAGTTGATAAGCTTGGCGTGCGGGTACATATTTTATTATTTGGGGTTTTAATCAGGATGCTGCTACCTATCTCCAGTTTCAGTTCCCTCTGTCACACCTTACGACACCCATGGGATGATATGTGGTAGGAGATTCCATTACATCGCCACTATACGGCAATAAATAAATATTTAAAAAAATAACAGGCAAATTATGCATACTGATAACACATTGGTAAAAATGTAATTAATAATTCCTGTCTTGTTTCAGGTATTTGAACAGCATCGGTCCCGTTAACAGCATACCTATTGGTGAGGCGATGGTCGCCTACAGAGAAAAATCTGGTGACGAAGACTCCAGTCAGACCTTCGTGCCGTTCATTGCCGTGAGTACCAATGATTATCAAAAATAACCAAAATGCATAGTTTATATTATTTTTTATTGAAAGGAAGTCCTTCTCCTGCGTCGCTACAACTTTATGTGAGTCTTGGCCTCCTCAACGTCGTCTTCCATTTCTCTTTTTCTTTGTTCTACCTTCACCAAGATTATTGCTTGCCTATATCCCTCAGATCTTCCTCGATTCAATTTTTTCACCGCTTCCTGGGTCTTTCTAGTGGTTTTTTTTTCTGTTGGAGATGTTTTTGGCAGCTCTAGCGTTATTTATTATTTTCAAGTGGACTGCCCAAGCCTTTGTGACTTTTAGAATCCGACGATCGGTTTTTTGTAACTTAAATAATGTACAGAAACAAAAGGTGGACAAAATGTACTAAAACGTATAAGATGGTTACAGATGGTTACAAAAAAAACTAAAAACTAATATAAAAGTATATCTTGGTCTTCATCATCAGCCCGCAACAAGAGAGTATTTTCCACCATGAATATTTTTTTAATAGGAGAGGGGTGACAAACGAGCACACAGTGCACCTAATGGTAAGTGAATGCTGTGGCCCATAGACATCTGCATCTATCATGTCGACAACACTAATCGTGGTGTCGAGACGATGGGAACTTAGTCCCACCCTTCTGGATCTAACCTGCTAGTTGCAGTTAATATAACGACATTGCTTGTGCTGATGCAGGAGGTACGCGTGGGCTGCGGCGAGGGCGGCCCGTCCTCGCTGGAGCTGGAGGAGGGTGGCTCGCCCCCCGCGCGGCCCTCGCCCCCCGCGACGCCGGCGCCCGCCGACGCCGCAGCGACCCCCACTCCACACGCCCCCCCATACCGCTGCGCAACCCCCGCCCCTGCACCACCAGCCGCAGGAGCTGCAGCTCGACTACTGGCTGGTGAGTGACAGAATTTTTTTTACCAGGAGCTAAGGAGACCACAAACAAGGTTATTATGTGTTTTATGTACCACGTGTTCGACGAAGAGAAACATCGTGAGGGGTTAATAAAATATTTCGCTGTCATAAAAGTGTGCCGACACGCACTGAAACAGCACGAAGGACTAACTTCATCACCATCATCATTGCAGCTCATTAAAATCAGCTGATGAACATAAGTCTCCTCTTGGATTGGTTGCCACGCTTGGCAGGCTCAATGGCAACAGCGGTTTTTTTTATTAGAGTAGCCTCGTGCGTAGTAGTAGTGGCTATCCATCTGCTGATTCAGTTTTCATTTATCACCTTCGAGAAGAAGACGCCATTCTTTACTACCCTACTTTAGAGTATAATAGTCCATATTTTTATGAATAACTAGTAGGTTGTATACCGCTTATAAGAATCAGAATCAGAATTTTGAAAAAATACAAATAACAGTGGCATTATTTGAATGGCGTTTGGAATTTTGTTGAATATTTTAGGAGCAAGTCCGAAAAAGCTTTTGTACATTTTAAATTAATTAAAAAGTATGGAGCAAATATTGGAGTTTTCTTGACTATTCAAAATTTAGTAAATAAGTGTGGGTTTCTTTTTTCCAAAAGTGCAGTTTCTAAAATGAACAATGTACAAGTTAACAATTTTAATGATTTAAAATAAGGTAGTTCCTAATATAAATTTTAATTTTCTAAATCTGATATCGTAGTTCGTGAACAAGTTCAAAATAAGTGCTTCAAAATAGATAAATAGGTCAAGATATTTTAAACGTTTTGGCCCTTTGAGATGCTATTAAACGTCATTCTACTCGGTTGTGTTAGTTAAGCCGCGATTAAAAAGTTTCGATTCGAAGTCGAAGATTTTTATGTAACACGTCAACATAATATAGTGAAGAGTTTTGAATAATATATTACAACACTTGAAATATTTTCCTTTTTTGGCTAAAGGGTTTGTAACTAACTCAACAAAAGAAATTAAAAGAAAACTTACATGCAGCAGAAAATTGAGTTAGTGTATTTTACAGGTGCCGGGTCGCGCTGCCGAGGGCGCGGATGGCAAGGTGACGGTGAAGGCGACGTTCCGCGCGCTGCTGGTCACGCGCCACAACTCGCACCTCAGCATCACCTACCTCACCAAGGAGAAGAAGCAGAAGAGTGAGTATACGTATTGTAGTAGGACCACGCTCAAGAGAACCGGAGACCCTTTTTACTGGTAACGGGGCTTCCATCTTAGGCCTCAAGCAACGCAACTGCATTTTGATTTTTAATGGAGGATTTATGTAGATGTCTATGAGACACAACATCCACTCACCATCGGATAAACTCTGTGTTCATTTATCGTCTTACTCTTTTAAAAAAAATCTGTTACTTTTCGTCCGCAATCCCTACTTATCTACATAAACTCTTATAGGCGCCGCCTAGAGGGTTAAGCGGAGAGACTAGAGCGGTAGTGACTTTCATTTGGGACAATCCTGACATACCTTTATCCCTTCTTCCACATATCTGCGTATACTATGCTCGTCAGTTAAGGTTACTCTAATTTGATGGTACTCTAAGATATCACCAATTATGTACCGATGAAAGTTCATCGGTACATAATTGGTGATATCTTAAAGTTTTATTGTCACTCTTTCAAAATTCATTAATTTCTTCATCAAACATTTCTATTCTAATCCTGGCTAGTCTTTTTACAAATCACACTTTTTCTTATGACACAATTTCTCACCCTATCTTTCAGTCATCTTTAACATAATTTTTAATGACCTCATTTCTACAGCATTAATTTTACTAGCATGCTTCTACCGCACCCAACTTTTACTAACATACATTGAGACATTAATGACAATTAAAGAGGTTTATTTGTCTATTCTTTCTAAATTGATTTTCTACAACGTACGTTGTAATGCGTTTATTTATTAAATCTTGTCAACAGTAATGCGGCTGGGCAAAAAGAAGGAGAAGTCGGAACCGGAATTGGGAAGAGCGCAGACAGTAGAGGGCGTGGCCAGACTTATCTGTTCTGCGAAGGGCTCGCACAATGCACCGCTAAAAGGTACGTTTTTGTAAAGTGGCCAAAACCTGCAAAAAAAAAAAAAAAAAAAATTGTGAATACAATAATAAAATCTACAAAAATGACTAAAATTATTGATTACATACATCTGTTGCTAAAGGAAACGCTCTAATCATTTAAGGATTACACTAATGGATAGATAATTTAAAAATCTATATTCTACACGTTTTATTTAGTTTCTTAAGTTCGCTCATCTTTTTCAATTGAAATAATTCCAAATATTCGGGCGTATTTTTACGCGATATATTGTAGCGAGAATGCGTGGATTGTATAGGACCGAACAATCAAGGTCTTTCGCTAGGGGAAACGTCTTAACTCCTTGACACTGTGGTAAATGATGGTGGCGAAAGAACATATCATCTCAGTTCGTCCAGTTGGTATCGATAATGACAAATTTTAAAAATAATTTCCAGAAAAGAATCTTTATGACTCTGCAACTATCTCGTATATATACCAGATGTAAGATATTAAGGCCGGCGATGGGGCGCGAGATGTTTGGTTTGGGGATGGGGATAAAATCATCATCATCATTCATCATTACAGTCCTTCACAAGTCCACTGCTGAACATAGACCTCCCCCAAGTAATGCCACAAAGCACGGTCCTGAGCCACCTGCATCCATCGACTTCCTGCATATCTTACCAGGTCGTCACTCCATCTAGTGGGGCGTCGCCCTACACTACGCCTACCGGTACGAGGCTGCCACTCGAGAACCTTCCCCAATCGCTTATCGGTTCTTCGAGCTATATGGCCGGCCCATTGCCACTTCAGCTTACTAATCCGTTGGGCTATGTCCGTCTCTCTGGTTTTTGCGGATATCCATTTCTGAGTCTATCACGCAGAGAAACTCCGAGCATAGCCCTCTCCATAGCTCGCCGAGCGACCTTGAGCGTCCTCATACGGCCAGCAGTGAAGGACCACGTCTCATATCCGTAAGTCATCACTGGCAACACGCACTGGTTGTACAATCTAGTTTTCAGATGTTGAGGTATACCTGACGAGAAGATATGTCGTAATTTCCCGAACGCTGCCCAGCCGAGTTGAATCCGTCGATTGACCTCTCGGTCGAAGTTGGACTTACCTAGTCGGACTATTTGTCCCAGGTAAACGTACTCGTCAACAACTTCGAGCATAGTGCTCCCAACAACTACCGGCATAGGTGTGACATGGACATTAAACATGATCTTTGTTTTGTTCATGTTCATCTTAAGACCTGTCCATTGTGAGACACCATTGAGGTCATTGAGCATAGTGCTTAGGTCCTCCAGGGATTCTGCCATAAGGACTATATCGTCGGCAAATCGAAGGTGAGTGATGTACTCGCCATTGATGTTAATACCGTATCCTTTCCGGTCCAGTAGCTTGAAAACGTCTTCCAATGCAGCGGTAAAGAGTTTCGGGGGAAATAACGTCACCCTGTCTTACACCTCTCTGCAGTTGGATAGGTTTCGAACTCTGGTTCTGTACTCGGATAGCCATCGTAGCCCTACTGTAGAAACACTTCAGCACTTCGATATACCGACAGTCAACTTGGCACCCCTGAAGGGACTGTAGCACCGCCCAAATTTCGACGGAATCAAAGGCTTTCTCATAGTCCACATACGCCAGGCAAAGTGGCAGATTGTACTCTTCGGTCTTCTGTACAATCTGCCGCAGGGTATGTATGTGGTCTATGGTACTGTAGCCTTTTCGGAAACCGGCTTGTTCGGGAGGCTGGAAGTCGTCGAGTCTGCGTGCGAGACGATTCGTAATGACTCTCGAATACAGCACGTAGACGCGGCTCAGAAGGGAAATCGGTCTGTAGTTCTTCAAGAGAGCGTTGTCGCCTCTTAAAGAACAAGACCACCGCACTTCTGCTCCACGCCTCCGGAGTAGTGCCACCATGGAGGACGGAATTGAAGAGCTTCTGAAGGACTTCAATTGCCGGTGTTCCACCCGCTTTCTGGAGCTCCGCTGTAATTCCATCCTCGCTCTGGGACTTACCGTTTTTAAGGTGGTGGAGAGCCATTCTAATCTAGCTCAGACTGACGTCCGGGATATCATCGGAATAGTGTCGGATAAGACTTGCTCTTGGATCGTTACTCACACTTGCGTGTGGCTCCAACGATGATGTGTACAGCAGACCATATAACCTCTCAATCTCACTCAAACGTGTACCGGAAACGATGCTGCCACACTCAGTCTTCAGCTTTGACAGTTGGCTCTTTCTGGCGGACAGATCTCTGGCAAAAAATTTTTGGAGCCCTGGTGCCGCTCGATCGCTTTTTATAACGAGCAGTATTGAAGTTGCGTAAGTCTCTCTGATCTGTTTGTTCAGTTGTCTGTACGCTGTCAAATCTGTTGACGATTGCAACCTTATCGCCCGTCTAACAGCCATGAGATTAAGAGTGTGATCGGAGAGTTTTTGTGTTCTTCTGCGGCGGGTCTTGCAGAACTTAGCTCCGACCGCATGGACAGTTTCCACGAGCTTGTCATTCATATCGTCCACTGCATTACAATCTTCTAGGCACTGAAAGCGATTACGTAACTCGAGCTGAAAGGTTCGGGATTCTGGATTCTGGCACGAGGGGGACGGAGCGTTTTGACTTCATTAGACGAGACCTCTCCAACTTAACGTTTAGGTTCAGTGTGCCTCTAACTACTCGGTGATCGCTGCCGGTTTTCACCCTTGCGATCACTGAGACATCACTGAACAGTTGGCGTCTGGTCGTCATAATGAAGTCAATCTCATTTTTTGTCGAACCGTCGGAGCTCGACCAGGTCCACTTTCTGTGGGGCCGCTTCTGGAAGAAAGAGTTCATCATAAAAAGTCCCTCTTTCTCCATGAAGTCGGCCAGCTGCTGGCCCCTTGGGTTCCGTTGCCCTATCCCAAATTTCCCTACCTTCAACTCACCGTTCTTTCTTGTACCCAGTTTTGCGTTGAAGTCTCCCATTAACACCGTATAGTGAGTTTTGGAGGAATGCATAGCTTTAGAAATGTCCTCATACATTTCCTCCATCTCCTCATTGGGATGTTCCTACGTTAGCGCGTAAACCTGTATGACCTTCAGCGAATACCGTTTGGTGATTCTGAATATAAGGTACGCAACCCTCGTCGATACACTCCCAATCTTTAAAACGTTGTTAACGAGAGACTTGTGGACCATAAATCCAACACCTCCTTGGGACAGAAGGTCGCCCTCTCGGTGATAGAACAAGTTGCCGGATTCTAGAATCACCGTGTCCTCCCCCTCTTTTCGGACCTCGGATAATCCTATAATATTCCAGCGCAACTTGTCATCTCTTCTTCCAGCTCCAGGATCTTCTCGTCAGTCCTCAGAGTGCGTGCGTTAAATGTTGCCAGGTCGAGTCGTCGTAGGTGGCAACCGAACCTCCACCGGAGATTCTTAGCAACTTCTAACCAAACCCCAACCGGAGATTCTTAGCGGGGCCGCCGGGGACTGGGGGCCGTCTAGTTGTGTAGTTGTTCATGGGGGGGTATATTGCAATAGTTGCCACGCTTGGCAAAGCGGGTTGGCAACCGCAGTTTTTTGTTGTACAGTTGATGTTATCAGGAAGATGCTGCTGCCCATCTCCTGCCTGTCTCCCTCTATCGCCATTACGACACCCACGGGAAGATATGGGGTAGTGGATATTCTTAACCGCCACTACACGGCATAAAATCAACACCAAATAAATTAAAATGTAATCAATAATTTTAGCGGCTTGCATACTATGAAACTTAGGCCAAGTGCCCATAACATTGCTCTTGAAAATGATTAGTGGTCAAATATGTTTTAATTTTGTTTTTCTCTTCAGTATACATCGATGGCACTGAATGGAATGGTGTGAAATTCTTCCAACTGTCGACGCATTGGCAGACGCACGTGAAAACCTTCCCTGTGGCAACTTGCGGCGCGCCGTTGGCACCGCCTGAAACTTAAGCTTCGCTCGCTTCCAATATCGGTATCACTCCCGCTTTGGCTTCCAAACTCGGCCTCGAAAGTCTTGTAGTGGTGCAAAACGGGCATATTCGACGATCTGGTTGATTATGGATATTGTTATCTGAAACACTTTAACTGGCTTCGCTTTGACTTCGGATATGAATACGTGCATACGGGCTTAGATCGTGCTTCAAATTACTGTCCCGTAACGGATATCCGATTTCGTGTAGCTTCGAATACAAATATTCGATCTTTCGGATACACGGATTTCGCCGTGTGAACGAGGCCAATAATATTAATCTGCCACTGTATAAATTCGCGTGTAGTTACTTAAACATTCGTTCTCATTTATCAATTCCTATAATAAACTGTCGAGCTGCCATGATTTTAGCGCGTAGTGAGAAGCCCGTTTTGTTATGTGTCTTGTTTAGCGAATCCAATCCTAATCCCGTGCGCCATAGGGGCGTGATTCCTTAGTCATTATATTTGCATGCTATATTTAACGTATACGGTTTAAGAAAGATATTCAAGCTGCATAACAAAGGCTCAATAATCGTGTTAACTATTTCACATAGTCATTAATTACATTAGGCTTTAGTTTTGTCGTATTTAAGACATAGATATTCGTGTACTCAGTAGGTATACATCGAGGTAAAATGGTTCGTGACATTTCCAATTATGTAAGTTAGGTTATGTATCAGAGAAAAGAACCGAATTTTAAGGAGTATTGTCGGCACATATCAGTGTAGGTCCGTTCTGGGCGGCGGATGCGTTTTGTTACGTTAATCTGTGTTTTTAAGACAGATTTTTGTTTTATATAGGCCACAGGGAGACGCGTTTTTATTTCTTTTAATTTGTACAACTAGTACTTTTTGTATATAATATAATAAAGCAATAAAGACACGAATGGTGTATTTTGTTCTTTTCTTATTTTGTACTGTAAACGAATGTGTTTAGCATCAAAATATTACTTTCGTTTAAGGTAGCAGGCAGCTAAGCAAACTTGCAACTGTACAGACCCAATCGTATTATTATATCGTTAACAACCAAGTCCACAAGCTATATCATCTGCCGTCTCGCTCGCACTTATAGTTGTTACAACGCTAGTGATATGTGTATTCTTGGTAGATCTGGTTATCGATAGTTAAGTAACGGCCTACGTACGTCCTATTTCTCGATTGACCTCTCCTCTGAGCGCATGATAGCAGCCGACTTCATATTTGTCTTCAAAACGTTTTTTTTAATTTCTCAGACATGCAAGTATCTGAACGTCTGTACTGTACTGACGGTAATCGAAATCGGTCAATCGATATATTGTACTCCAAAATTTTTAAACAGGCGCATAACTCCTTAGCTAACACGGCGTATCGATAGTAATAACAGTTATTTAAGTATCGATAAACGCATCACTTGCATATTGTTGCTAATTTAACGAGGACTTGGTTAATAGCGACCGAACTAACCAGTTTGTACATTTTAATATTGATCTACCAAAATAATAATGTGTTTAATTGTTTCATTAATAGAATTTTAGCTGTCTATTAAATGTTGTCAGAATTGTCATTCGAATGACTATTCTGAGAACATCAATTTTAAATAAACTATACTCTGTGTGTTATTAACGAAACATCGAAAACATTTTCAAAATTACAAGTGTCTAATATTAATGCGACGTATGTACGATTGCTTTTTATTATTACATGCTAATACGTTATAAAGGTGCATTCTTAAGTTTGTAGTGTTATTCTAATATTTTAACGGTGTAATCTATTCTAACTTTCTTTTCGTCAACGTAAAGTTATTCGAAATTACATAACTCCAAGCCAAATTGGGACGTTTGTTTCTATTGCTAATTGATTTTAATCAAAGGCGCCGGCAACTGGACGACAACGACTGTTCCATTTATACCGTAGTTTTTTAATATTCTCAAGTCTTACATAATTTATGTAATATGTAGAAGAATGGTAGTGTTTTATTTACGTGGCTGTGTGACTTTATAAGGACGTGTGTAAATAATTATCACGAATATCGTGTTGGATACCCGAGTCGGATATCGGTTTCGCTTTAGCCGTCGTAGAACGGTATGCAGAAACTACGAAGACCGCGTTCTTATCTTCCAAACTGTCTGATATTTCCAAGCTTTTATTGGTTTATACGTGTATTTGATCGTGCCAAATGTAATTGGTTCACGAAATATATAACGAAACATTTTATTGTGGTAAACACTGTATTATTTCTAGAAACATAAAAACAAAAGGGGTTACTTTAGGTATAGATCATTTTTCAACTTAAGAGCGGAAAATCTGTAACACTATTTGTTTTGTTTTTTAGACTGCTTATCAGTTTTTTTTAATAATGTGTTTCAGAGCAAAAATTCAATCTTGATATAAATTTTGCCAAACTAAAAGAAAACATGGCAAAAACTAAAGTTTTATTATAACAAATGTGTACATATTACAGGTAATCTCTGAAGAAGTAGTAAACGTGGGTTTAACTGAAGAAATAGTAAACCTAGGTTTATGTTGAGTAAAGTTCGAATAATAATTAAAATAATTACGACTTCTGTTAAATTTCTTAAAAATACGAAAGCACATATCAAGTTATATCAGCGATAATAGGTTAAGTTGCGGCACTCAAAGCCGCTGACATTTATAATATAATATATAAATTATTCGGACTTAACCCAACCCACCAGGTAAACACAAGTTTACTACTTCTTCAGAAGTTACTTGCAATATACACAACAAAACATTACGACATTTTTTTGTGTATTTAAAGCGCATCATGCGTTTAAATTTTGTAATATAAACATAGTACCTATTGTTTAATATTTTACATGGATTTATATTATGACGTACAAATGTGCAAGACGTATCTACGCAAAAAGTTTTCAACCACAACTTGTTCAAAAATGTGTAAAATACGCCAAAATAATCTTTAGACACTAAGGCTTAGTCTATATTTGCTATGAAGGAACATCAACCAAATTATAAGAAAACCTAAGCAGGCATTGAACCAATTTTTTTTTATATCTATCCTCGATAAAAACAAAAATTCAAATGCGTTGTCACCCTTGAGGACTAAGATGGAATACCCTGTTTTCAGTAATCCTTTTTGCGTATCTACGTCTAATTGTTTTGGCGCCTTTAAGGAAATACGTTATGAGTCGTCTTTCACAAATTTAAGAAAGGTGTGTAGTGTGTACACCATTATACGTTATATGTATTATACCATTGTGTTAGGAGCAGGTAATATATTTTGTCAGTGTTACCAGTACAAGAGGGTTAACGTTTATTACAGTCTTCAGCTCGACTTGTATTTGGGTGCAAATCAGGTGCTTGCTGGGTTACTGTGTTACCAGTAAGAAATATTTTTATTTATATTTTATTCTCTTTATAATAAATGAAAGTTATCGCATATAAAGAGTTGCAGTGCTGTCGTTTACATTATCTGTGGTATAATAAATTTTATTCCCTTTATACATTGTGTGTCAAATATCTAATCAAGAATATTAAAAATAATACCTAGTGTATTCTACTCTGCGACAAAAGATATTTTAAAACTTATTCCTAACATAATATATAATTTCATTATTTGTTATAACATCTGGAATTCATTAAACTGAGCTAATATTGTACCTATATGATAAAATAGTGTCCACAACGATCTATATATCCGATTTCTAATAACCTCATCTATATTAATTATTAAAAATAAAAGTATATCGCAGGTCGACTGACTATCTGCCACTTATGTGTATTAGTTAAGATCACTGAATATTTAATGTCCAAATACTCAAACGCTGCTAGTTTGTTAGTGACTAGTTTACAGTTTTAAGTAGTTGTTAAGTCTCATTCTGTCCCTATCACTTTAATTCAAAGTGATTGTGACACCAGGAGCCTTAAAGACATCTTTAAATTGAGCAGTTTTTGAGTATTTGGCCATAAGCCCATTATAGTAGACTTCTCTCAGAAATCTATCAGAATCCATTAGATATTTCTGGCATATCTCATCATCGCTTCATACGACACCCAAGGGACTAAATGTGGTGATGGATTCTGCTACCCCGCCACCACCACCCAAATGGCTTGAAACGAATGAAAATGTTTGATATTTGAACATTTAGGTACATTTTCTTTAATATTAAAAAAAAAAGGAAATATTTCTTAAAAATAACTGCTCAATTACAAGCAATAAATTAAATTTTTTATTTCCCATCAGGGCTCTTATGGTTGCTACTAATATGCATAAGATAATATAAATTGTAATCGATGCATTTCCAATTGTCTAGAGTTTAAATATATTATAAGCCTTTAAGTAATGGTGGTCTAGTCTCGTTCGATTTGTGCAAATGTCGCCGGAAATCGAAGTTCTTTTTGTATTAAGTGCTGGGTAACGGGCAACACTTCTACCAATTAAAAAAACAACAGTAGAAATTAGTGATGCATTAATTATTCAAAGCACATATAGAAAAATATAATGAAATAGAAAATTATGTGTTGCCATCTGCTATTTACTTTTTTACAGACAGTTTTATTTTTTATTGAAATATTTTTTGATTAAACAAGTTTTACATTTGAGGTATATGTATGTAAGTGTCAGATATTAGTTGCGAATAAATATTATAATTCTCATATAAGAATATTAAAAAAAAAACTATTACTTCTATACTTACAATCAAAGAAACATGAATATTATGTTATCAAAGTAGGTTGGTTGTTTACTATGCTACACAACTATCAACTAATCTAACCCATGTTAAGACAATCTTCACTTCAAGGTTCAATTCTTAAAATTCTGTCTGATATAAATCATTAATGTCAAGATGTTGGAGAACCACACTGTAGCTATAATATACTTGTAGCTCGAATAGGTCGGCTCGACCGGAAAAGACCACGCTCTTACAGTATACCAGTGTGAAATAATAGCTTAATGCTATTGTGTTTCGTAAGGATAGTGTAGATTTATAGACTTTGCTTATATGGTTTCGAAAATGTTTATATGTTTTCACAGTGGTCACATATAAATTTCAACCATCCAGATAATTCCATTTATGTTTTTAAATTTCGTTCGTTTATGGTATAACTAACACAAAAGTGTTTTTATAATTGTTAGAAATGTCGCCATTGTGGCTAAATGAATACAATGAAGTGATAATATATGGCACAAATTTCAGTATGTTAGGTTTTGCTTACTTATTCAATTGTTGTAGCACTATCATGTTAGCATTGGTACATTTGAAATTGTTCCATAAAACTATAAAATAATATAATTCGTGTGTTATGTATATCGTAATTATCATCGATGGTAATTGATTGATTTTAACTGCTAGGCTGCTGCTAAAATGCAAAGGGAAATATCAGAAAATCCTTTTTACCTTTATTGTCAATAACAGCTTAAATAGTGCCATTATCGAGTAATTTTGGCAGTTAAAACAAAAAGAAGCTCAAGTTTCCAATAGTTATTGCTTAGAGGCCTAGCCAACAGTGTGTTATGATGTAATTTGTATATTCATATTGTAACAGTAATTAGTAATGGGATTATAAAAAATATGTTTGTTTATATAATTTGATCTCATAAATGCTGACTGATTTGGCAAATGTATCTTTTAAATAATTATTTGGTAATGTAATGCCAATTTTAATCAATATGATGTTAAAACAACAATGTATTTTAGAATTTATATTTGATGCAATAAAATTGTATACTTAGATATTCATCACAATTTATCCTTGTAACAAATTACAATTGTATTGATTGATTTTATTTAGCATAATTGAGAATTTGTTTAATAAATTAGTACAAAAGTAAAAGATAATGTTTCTTTACTATATATTTTCAAATTATGTCCACCCTGCATTTTATTAAATAGTGCAATAATTGGACAGAACACTATCTCCAATTCTTATTATTTATGTTGCAATCTATTTAAATGTGTTTTGACATTACAATATCTTTAACTAAAGTGATGAGATTTATTATTTGTCATAATTTGCAAGTATGATTTTATATTTATTGTACAAATAAAACTTTGCATTAAAATATGTTTTTTTTTTATTTTATTTATAAAACATTGTAAAATATAACACAGTTTTACAATAACATAAAATCCTATTATAATACAACAATCCATTAAATTATTTTATTGATATTTTAATTATCCAATACAAATAACACTAAATATTTAAGTACATTTCTTACTAACTAAATAACTAAGTACAAGCAAGTATAAACTTGTAAAGTGTTAAATTGAATTTTTACAAAAATGATTGCTACCATTATCTTAAAAACATTAAATACCACATAGCTTTCACTTAGAGACTATTAAACATTATAAATTGTTCCCTTAATCCATTTTCTCCTCCAATCCCTCCCTCCGGAAGCATATATAACAGGCCATCTTCTGCTTTTTTTGGTGAAAATTCCCATAGATTCGCGTTACTTCTATGTAGTTCATTGAGTGTCCATGCAGCAAGAAATCGAGATTTTCCATGCCTACATAGAACATAGACATTATTTGGGTAAGAGGTATAGGAATCTCCCGGATCCTCAATAATGATTATTCCACAAACCAGTGCCCAGTGAGCTGTGTGACCTTTTCTAAGACAAGGAGAGTGATTATAATCAGCATCATAACTGAGGTCATCTGTTAAAGGAATTATTAAGTGTATAGTTAACATTTATCATATACAGTTGATTATTTTATCTTATTCAGAAGTCTGGTCTGTGTTTAAGAAATCTTAATAATTCATTCAATCTATCCGTTCATTTAAAAAATTGAGATACAAGAAACTACCTTTTCCAATTATGTAGGTTTATCCACAATATAATTTTTATGATATCCTGTTCCTTGTATAATTTATAGTAGTGGATTGTTGAGTATAAGAAATAATGTTGAAATTTTATAGTAAAAGAAAAACATAAATTCAAAAATGTATTGTACTGATTTTATTACTTCAGCTAATTATATTAAAAGGATACGGTACTAATAAAATAGCACCATTTAAAAGATTTTGTATGGTTTCATGGCTAAAAAGCCCATCTTTTTTTAAAGTACAGGAAATATTATCTACCTCAGCTAAGCTGAATGCCTTCTCAGCTAACTTTGCCATATCCTTGCAACTTAACATCTCCCCGTTATTGCTGTATCCCTCCATTTTCGTTATATTAAGGAGTTCATCGGGAGTTACTTCACCTCCTATAAACATCGACAATGCTACCAAACCACACGTAGGTCCTACTTGCAATATTGATTCGAAATTTTTATAATTGTGACGGAAGGGTTTTTGGTTTAAGCAAATTTGATATTTGGCACATACTTCCCACAATTGTGGTTCAGATGAGGCCCATTCGCAAACATTGGAATAATCTGTTGTTTCATCAGCGGGTTTACTTAGCTGCAATTTTTTACTTAGGGATAATGTGGCTGGAGGTGGTGGTGGTGGTGGTGGTGGTATTGTGCACATTATACACTAATCAGGTTAAAGGAAATACTAAAATACATAATTTTTATTTTAACCTAGCCCTATATTTATACTTGGTTTATGCTATAATAATATTATAGTCATTTCAAAATAAATGACCTTTGACTTGAGTTTTGATGGGTCTGAAACAAAGAGTATATCCAGAGTACCTTTGTATAAACTGAAAATATATATCCTCTTATTAATCTGTGATAAAGTTGTTCGATAGGACTATAAATCAATAACACGCTACAGACTATAAACTATAAATTTCTAGCGCGCTATTAAATACGCTATGTTATAGCGCGCTATTTATAAGAAAGTGTGTAGGAGGCCGGCAAGCGCGTTAAGTTTAGCAGCACGCTATATCTCAGAGCACGCTACATTACGTGTCGTTCATTGGATAGACCGCATGCTATATTATAAGAACATTGTTTCGTAATAGGTCGCATTTTAGATTATATAAAATAAAGTGGTAAAGAGAAATCAATGAACGCTCTTTTATACTTTCCAGGCTTACGACTTTCGATAATCCTAAAAATATTTTTAAAGCATGTACTATTAAACACAAAAAAATTAATAATTTTTTTATTATTGATGTAAACGTTATTTTAACCTTAACATAAATTATAAATCAATTAAAGGTGTATTTAAAAGTTTATTGATTGTATTTACAAAAATCAACTTTTTACAAACACTATTATATACACTTTATATTTTATTTACATTTAAAAACATTAGTTAGGCTTCTTTTGTAGCATACAACTGTGTCCTGCGATCACTTATAAATATAGAGTATACACTAACTAAACAACGTCTAACAATAAATTAGTTCGCGTGCGATGAATAGCGTGCTGCTAGATTAAATTTGCCTCACACGTCTACTCCCAACAGCGCTGCTGATAGAACTAATTACCACTCAATATGAATAGCGCCAAAGCGTCATAGCTCTTTAGCGCCATGGCGACTACTTATATAGCACGCACTATGTGTTATGGAGAGATAGCGCGCTATAATATGGCGCTATATTAACCACCATTAGTCTGTGATAGTAATATATATGGAAATATAGACGGAGGATAAAGATGTATATCCTCTGTCTACGGCATCAGTGTTGCCAGATGTCTTGAACCTTTTATCTGTATTAGAAACTGCTAAAATGTGTATTAAATCTGTATGCTACTTAAACTTAAAATCTGTATAATCTAATAAACCAAAATAGAATAATTGATCATCATCATCACTGCTTCTTTTGAAAAAAAGAAATAAATACTAACGTGATAAGGTTTGATTATCGTGATTAAATAAAAATATTATAGCATAAGGGTGACAAACGAGCACACAGTCCACCGAAGGCAAGTGGATGCTGTGGCCCATAGACATCTACATTTATACTATTTATACCTCACTTAAGAATCAAAACGCAGATGCGTTGTCACGCCTGAGGACTAAGATGAAATGCCTCGTTTTCAGAAAAAAAAGGGTCTCACCTCACCTCACCATACGAAACACAGCAATATGAAGCTGGTATTTTATGCTGGTATTCTGTGAAAGCGTGGTCCTTCCCCGGTCGAGCCGACCCATTTGTGCTGCAACCACAATATAGCTGCAGCGTGGCGTCACGTATAAAATATACACTATATACAAAATTTTTTGTATGGCAAAATTGAAAACATGAATTTATTTTCAAACCGTTCTTAATTAAAACTCAAACATTTGCTATAAACGAACATATAATTACTTTATTATTTTCAGTCACACATATTTTATATGAGTATAGTATAATATTAAAGATTAGAATCATGCAATGATGTGTGTAACGCGGTATCTATAGTTCATAAAAGATAGCTTGATCTCTGCGACAGCTGGCATGGCATCGGCATGCCCATAAAGTATGACATTGACAGGTATTGTCTGTACTACTAAGAAATTCAGGACTTCATAGGCGTGATTTTACTGACAGCTGTCGCAGAGATCAAGCTATCTTTTATGAACCAGTCACTTATTTTGCTTCGTTCTCTTTTAAGTTGAATATTATGGTAATCCAACCAAAAGAACTAGAAAACTGTATAAAAATCTGTATCCAGTGCTAATCTGTATCACACACCAAAAATCTGTATAAATACAGGGAAATCTGTATATATGGCAACACTGTAAGGCATGGAGGTAAGAGAACAGGAGAACGATCGCTGTAGAAAATAGTGTCCCAGAAATATGGAGAAAACAAGTGAGGCGCTGCGACTGCTAAGGTGTCTCAATAAAAGCGGGCTGTTGTACGCAGGTTTGAAATGATTATAATATCATTCAAAGAAAATAACGAAATTATTATAATATATTATTATTATTTATTAAAAAATACGTTATAAATTATGTTTTTTATAATTTTAATTATTATAAATTTTAGCATTTTTAAAATTAAAATTAAAAAATTACCTCGCATTACGGCTCTGGGTTTCAACAGCATATAATTTCTTTCTGAATCATCATTTGTATACATTTTTTCTTCACAATATGCTGATGCGTCACATTGCAATGTTTTTAGAAAATTTTGACGACAGCTCAACCAAGCGGACAGTTGCTGACGACAGCCACTCAAGTTCATAGAGCACCCAAGCGATCAAAATAACTTGAGGTTTATATCAACATCAAAGCACTTGTTTCGTCGCTTTCTCTAATAGTTCACACGCACAGACACATAATTCACGAAATTGTATCACTTTTACAAATCAAAATTAACTTCAAACACAGATTATCCCTAATAGATAACGCATTATTGAATTTTTGTTCTGTTACGATTTCACCAAATTTGGCTGCATGCAAGAGTAGCGGAGGACGTGTCAATTGCGCTGTGAGTGGATATTTCAAGGTTGAACTTGGAATGCACTGAAACATAATGATGGGACAGGGTTGGGACGTTGATTGATACACTTGGGATTAATTGATTATTGATAATTAAATAAATTAATCAATTTTTATTTGAAATTTAATTAAACATAAAACAATGAATATATATTTATATGGTTTAAGATATTTATTTTCTCAAAAGAATTAAAATTCACTTATATGAGAAATGTACAACACTAACATAATTTTATATTAAACGGCACGACACACAAACAAACTGATAACAAAATAAAAATACGCCATTTTTTTTATAGTCTAAACAAATAATGTTAAAAGTTATGAGTATATAGTAAAATAATAAAAGGAGGCTACCAAATATTAAGATAAACATTCATGACGGTTACTTTATTTGGTTCGATCGCCGGGTGCAAAATTATTCATATACCGACTTTTAGCTTCATTTAATCGAATTTACGTTGAACAATAGAGACTGGAAGTGATATTATGTATTTTTGATTGAGCGCAATTATTACTTGGTTGGATTGGTTGGATAATTAAATGACCTAATGAAATTTTAATAACTATATCTGTGTTTATATGTATACTTGTTAAGAATTCCCTTTTTAATGTTTTGTTTTATTTGCTTTTTTTATTAGTTATTAGTACATACATACATATATATTTGATTATATTTTTATATACATATATACACACATATAGACACATATTTATATTACTATAAAAGTAAGGCTTATTAATCATAATTTTACTAGATCGAAGCTGATATTATGCTAATTTAATAACATTTTAGCATTTTAATTTACCTACCAATATTATAACCACCCAATCAAATTAAGCACAATTTAACGAAGAAGTAAACCACCTTGACTATGTGTTTAGAAAATAATGTTTTAGTAATCTTTTAAAGGCTGTCATAGATTTGGCATCCCTTATCTCTTTTGGTAGTTTGTTGTAGATTAGGGCACCTTCATTTAAAATACATTTTTTGCCGTAGTTAGTACGTGCTGTGCGTAGTTTTAATTCTCTGTAAAGTCTTGGTCTTAGTTTTGTTATAGGTTTATTTTTTGTAAAACTTAATTCTGTGTGAATGCTTTTATTTAGTATTTTACGTACTAAAATGCAAGTATAATATTTATATGTTAGTGATATATTCATGATTTTAGTGTCCTTATAAACTTGGGCTGTTGGAGTAAGAAAGTCGTAATTATATAGTACCTTAATCAGTTTATTTTGTGCTACCTGTATTGTTTCTATATTGGTTTTTGCTGCTGTGCCCCAGACTTCTATAAGGTATTCAATATGTGGTTTGACTAATGAATTATAAATAGTGTATCGCACACTACGTGGGAAACATTTTACTATATTTCGCAGTGCGCCAGTGAGAGAAACCAATTTAGATTTAATATTATTTATATGACACTTAAATGTCATATGATTATCCAACCGGAGACCAAGGTATTTTTCATTATCTACTTTAGAAATTGGTTTACTATTTATTGTGAGAGGCTTATAGTTACCAATTTTTTTATTTTTTGATGTAAAAATTACGTAGTGTGTTTTAGTAATATTTATAGTTAGACGGTTAGATTGAAACCACATATTCAATGTGTTGAGATCTGATTGGGCATCGGTAATCAATTCGTTAATTGAATATCCATAGTAAAACAGACTTGTGTCGTCTGCATATAATGTAATATTACCTTTTAATCCAATATCCTTAATACTATTGATGTAAATCAGAAAAAGCAGCGGTCCTAATATGGAACCTTGCGGTACTCCAAAAGTTATTAATTTTGGTTCACTTTGATTAGAGCCAATCTTTACTACTTGATATCTATTGGATAAATATGAAGCAAAAATTTTCAATGCAGATCCGGAAA